AATTGTTTTCCTGATTTCTCTTTCTATTGATTCGTTGTTAGTGTATAGGAAAGCTACAGATTTCTGTGTGTTGATTTTGTATCCTGCAACTTTGCTGTATTCCGATATCAGTTCTAGTAGTTTTGGAGTGGAGTCTTTAGGGTTTTTTATGTACAGTATCATATCATCTGCAAATAGTGACAGTTTAACTTCTTCTTTACCAATCTGGATTCCTTGTATTTCTTTGTTTTGTCTGATTGCCGTGGCTAGGACCTCCAGTACTATGTTAAATAACAGTGGGGAGAGTGGGCATCCGTGTCTGGTTCCCGATCTCAGTGGAAATGCTTTCTATTTTTGACATTTTTGACAGACATCCCAAAACCAAATTCTAAATGGCTATACACTAATTGGCCTTATTTGACATGCTAAATTTACACAGGAAGCACTGTCAGATAAGAGTAATGCCATGTCTTCTTCATGTTGTCTTTGTATAGGTCTCTAAGAGTTCTAGAAATTATGTGGCATTCCCAGAAATCTGGTATCTTGTGGTTTCATGTCTTCTGTCATCATTCTCTTTCCCTCTGAAATCGCTTTCATCAGCACTGACGCTCACACTAAAGGGACTAAGCTTGAGGATCAGGGGAAATGCCCCAGCGGGCTTCCATGCACAGGTAGCAAAAGCCACAAAATCTAGCACATCGTGGCATATGCGGAGAAAGTCCCTTCTGCTCCTGCAAAAAAAGACAATGACCTCTTGTGGCCAGACTTTTGCCATCCTGAGGTCCTTGTGACACGGCGGCAGTCTGCTCTTGAATCAGAGAAATCAAGATAGGCTAGTAACGATTGTCAAATCAGTAGACAAGCAGGGCTATGGGAAACCCAAATGGCCACTTTAGTTCTGGCCGGCTCCCTGGCAAATCCTGTTTTTACCTCCTCCCTCTGGGACTCTTTGAATACCTGTATCTAGACTTTCTTCAACAGTTACTTAGTATAGGTTATCAATATGTTCTTGTTATTGTATGTATGTTTCCTGGATGATTGAAGCTTTCCCTGTTTGCCATGCCACTGTCACCTCTGTGGCTAAGAGGCTGATGGAAAATTATACTAACCTGGGGAACCCCTTCTGCTCTACATAGTGATAAGGGGGCTCATTTTACTGGACAAACTTTTCATGGCACATACCATCCATAAACCTCTGGGTTAGTAGAAAGAATGGAATTGCAAAAACTTAGCCAAATTTATGGAAATCTTAAAATGCCCTGGTCAGAAACTTTACATGCCATTCTTTTGAATTTGAGATCCATTCCCTTTGGAAAACATAAGTGTTCCCCCTTTGAAATCATAACAGGAAGATGTATGCATCTTTCCCCGGTGACCTTAGAGTCTTTAGCTATAAAAGGGGGATTTCTTAATGCCAAGAACTTATTAATAAAAATCACTCTTTGGTAAAACAATATTTTTACAATAGCAAGAACAGTGACCTTCCGGTCCATAGACTCATCCCTAGACTTTGTGTACCAGGAAAGACATATTTGAGGATGTTCTTTACGGCCCCGCTGTAAAGGTCCATTCCACTTAGTTTTCTGTGAATCTCCGCGAGGCCAGACTCTAGGGCACTGACTCCTGCATCCATGTTCTACCTAAAAAAGGCTAATCCACCTGAATGGTCCAGCCTCCCATTTACAATCCCAAACTCTACCTGACTAGCAAAAAAAGCCACTGACATCTCAAAAGTGACTGCTTCCACCCACGAGCCTGGACCATGCTTGTATATCCTGAACGATTCAAATCACCCTAACTTAACATTCCTCCTATTTCTTTTCATGTAATAATTCTTAACACTAAAGAGAGACAGTCAAGCTGTAGAAATCTAAAGCCCAAGCATCATTGCAAAATTTTTAGAATTCGCATACTCGGGCTCTTGCTATTACAGATTTGGGGCCCTGGTGTTCAACCCCTGTGGGATTCACATATAAATCAAGTATCAAAATCAAATGAATAATCATATCTGACTTGATTGTTTATAGTTCATGATGCGTGATCAAAACCGAAACAGTTTCTGTGATATGACTGCCCTTGCATTGTTCACCATGTAAGAACTTGTTCGTTATGCTCCAGAAGATTGGAGACTGTTGAGGGTTAGGCTTGGGGTTGATTAATGATTGTGCATTGAGTCCCCTATACAGAATTTTATTGTTGTTAACAACCATATGATCAATAAATATGAGAGGTGCCCTCTCAACACCACCTTTGCACTGTTAAGCCTCGAGTCCCCTGGCTGGTCCTTTCAGATCTTCGATATCTCATAGTGTCTCCCCCTTTATCTGCGAGTCAGAGGCAGGGAGGGACCGACAAACCCCAGTTTAACGGAGATTTTAAGACGATGGTTTGAGACATAGGGCTCATGGATTGAAATAATCTTTCAGACTGTATTGGTGACTCTACTTTTCATTTAAACTTCGGACACATCAGAAACACTGGAGACTGTTGAGTCTTTACAGATGTAGTCAGAAAAAGGACTGAGTCCTGGGATGGGCCGTTTCTGCTTCACCCGCTGCGAGGCCAGTTAACAGAAACACCTTGTCCGCCAGACTCAAGAAACAGGAAACCTGGCTAAGGGGTGTCAAGGAAAGAAAGTTGTTTAAGTTTGTACTGGCCATGCATAAGGAAGGTGGGCAAACGTGAGTGGAGGAAGTCCGGGGCCAGATGGTTCATCCACAGAGAAGGCTCGTGGCTGGTTCTTGATGACGGTCAGCGACTGTTCACGTATGAGAGGGATACAGAGGCTCTGGCGGCCTTCTAGGTCATTGCTGATGTGACTAAGGAGGAACGTGGAGTTTCCGGTTGGCTCTGGCCTGTGGCTATTACCTGATTACCTTCCCTTGCCTCTCTCCCCCATTCCCTGGCCCTTATGTCACTACATGTTAGGACATCTCAGAATTTTTCCTTATCACTTTATACTTGTTGTTATTCCCAATTAAGTAAGTCTAGGAGCCAAGCCCCAGCCAACAGTATGCTGGCTTGACAGCTTGCATGAGGTACCTATACCCTTCCAGAAGAAGATGCCCTTTGAAAAGGAAAATTTTGAAGACTCACAACAAGAGCTGACTGGTGGTTCTCATTTTCTCTCTCTCACCCTCTTGTTGCCCATAATTAGCCGGGTCATCTTATCTCATCTGACCTTATCTTTAAATTTCCCTCCTCCTTAGGACATGCATGACGTCTTAGGAATGAACCTTCCTAGCAACATGGGACAGCGCCCTGGACATAAAAAAAGGCCTTTTTAAACATATTTAAATTCACAGAAGACACTCATCAGCAATGGTTTCTATGAAATGTCTTGATGAAACGGAGGAAATAATAAGGAAAAATTCTGGGATGTCCTGAAATTCAGTGACATAAGGGCCAGAGAATGGGGGAGGGAGATAGCCCCCAGTCAATAGCCCCCAGAGGTAGCCAACCAGAAACTCCACATTCCTGAAGGAGAAGCAATGATCTAGAAGGCCCCCGGAAGCGCTGCAGGCATCCCTCTTTCACATGAACAGTCCCTGACCATCACCAGCCAGCCAGGAGCCTTCTCTACAGACTAACCATCTAGCCCTGGACTTGGCGCACTTGGCATTTGTCCCCCTTCCTTATCTGTCACCAATGTGAATTTAAACAACTTTCTTTCCCTGAGACCCCTTATCAATGCTTTCTGTTTCTTGAGTCTGGCCGAAGAGTTGTTTCTGGCCTTTCTGCTTGCTTGTGCAGCAGAAACTGCCTGTCCCAGGACTCAGGCCTCTTTTCTGGCTGCACCTATAACAGCTCAACAAACCCGTTTATTTCAGAGGACTCTCAGTCTCTAGAGTCGTTGGCTTGTCCATAGACAGAGCACAGGAGATTTTTAGGGCAGGGAAAATACACTTTATGATAATATGATGATGTATATACGTCACTATACTTTTGTCCAAACCCGTAAAACATCCACTACCAAGCGCAAGCCCAAAGGTAAACTTGGACTTGGGGTGATTATGAAGTGTCAGTGTAGCCTCCAGAAGTGTCAGTGTAGCCTCCAGGTAGAGGCAGGGACACGGGACAGGTGTCATGCCACTATAAAATATTTTTGGCCTATGAACAAAGGCCCAGCTTATTCTTTGTGTCAGTGTAGCCTCCAGGTAGAGGCAGGGACACGGGACAGGTGTCATGCCACTATAAAATATTTTTGGCCTATGAACAAAGGCCCAGCTTATTCTTTGACAGGACCTGTAACATGTTGTTTTTCCTTCTTCCAGTCACATAAATCAATTAAGCTATGTTGTATCCAGGACAAAGAACAGCGTCCGGTGCATAAACAAACCAACATATCAACTCTGATGGATAAAGAATGTCTAGATACAAATCCGCACGGTCACCTAGACAACCCTATTCTTAAGACAAAACTTCAAAGCAAATATTAATCACCTTCAGACATCATCCCCTCTACCGACCCATATTCAAAAGGCCCTGTAGAAACCCCAAAACCCTAAAACTTTTCAATGCACCTCTTCTCTCTGCTCTGAGGCTGCCTGGGTTCCTGTCTGGGGGTGTACTTTCCCTTTAAATACAACCTCCTCGCTCCTGGTGCACCCTTGTCTCTGAACGCCTCCACACTACAAAGGAAGGAACCTGGACCTTAATCGGGCTCAGGAGAGCTCCTCCGACATCAGGTTCATCTCGGATGAAAAATGTAGCATTTTGGTGAGCAATGTCGATAAGGAACCAGTCTGTGCATGTGTGGGGACATATGGGAAATCTCTGGACCACCCTCTCAATTTTGTTGTAAACCTAAAACTGCTCCAAAAATATTAATCATTTTGAATATATCAATAATAGTGTAAACTTAAGGGTAGAATTGCATTACTAGAAACGAAGAGACATTTCATAAAAATAAGTGATATCATTGACCAGAATGGGATTTCCTGCCCTTCCTTCCTAGGGAGCCAGAGGAACTGGCTGGGCTGGCCTCAATCATTCCTCCCCAGGCGGGGGAGAAAGATGCAAATCAGGTCCTGCTGGGGACCATCCAAAAGAAATTCTGTAAGTGACTCAGAAGTGAAAGGCTTTACCCGGTGGACGCGCACCGCGGGGCACCAGCAGATCTGCGGTTCACACAGGTCCAGGTTTGTCAGCCCGGCTGGAGGGAGCTTGGGCTCTCCATGTGCTCGCGGTTTGGGTTTCGGCAGCTATTTTCTTTAACTACAACTCGCGGTGGGAGATCGTTCCTGTTCCTTGCTGGGGGGCTCGCTGGTCCATTCCGATGCCGATCGGAACAGTATTTTCTGAGAACTGGTTTTGCAAGCCTTGAAGTGCATCGGTTAGTCACCGCGCACAGGATGCGAGAGGCAGGGAGCAAAGAGGGCCCAGGGACACTGGGGAGCCTCGGTCCCGTCGGCGCACAGCGCGGAGAGACCGCTTCCTTTCCCGCGAAGGGGCTCTCATCCCGGGGCGCTCCACGTACCAGTGCGAGCTTCGGAGCCTGGGGACTGTGCGGCGGGCGGAAGGGGCTAGCGAGGGCCAAAGGCTGGGGGGCCGGACCGGCGCCGGCAGCCCGCTGCTTGCGAGGATCAGCAGGGTCTGCGGGCTCGGTTCTGCAGGAAACGCGAGTCTGCGGGGGTGGGGTCAGCCCTGGGCTCCGGGAGGCGGGCCGGGACGCAGCTCCCGGGATCTCCTTCCTGCCTGGCCCCTCCCCTCCCCTCCCCTCCTCTCCCCTCCCTTCCCCTCCCCTCTCCCTCTCCCTCCCTTCCCCTCTTCGTCCCCCGAATCCCTTGTAACGTCCATTTTGAGGAGGGGGTCGGGGCAGCAGGTAAAACTTGCCTGGACTGGACGAATCTCTGTCATCGATCCTTTCTGGGGTCTCTTTATTTTTATCTTATTTATTTATTATAGTACTTTTTTTTTTTACAGTCCCCTCCCTATTGTCTGCAGTCCCTCAACCCTCTCGTACTTGGCATAAGCTGCGCCGCCCACAGACACGCCTGGAAGCCGGTGCGGGCGGAATGGTAAGCGCGCCGGGTTGCTGCACAAGTCCACGCAGTGGGCGGCCCGGTCGGGTGCCCAGGACTTGGGAGCAGCTGCCTGCAAGGGCCGTGTTCCCAACGCGCCGGAAGAAAGGCGAAGCCAAGGGCGGCCCACGTGCGGAGCCCTGAAGGCGCTCTTCCCGCGCGGCTGGGAGTAGGACGGCTCGGGCTGCACCTGCTGGACGGTCGCGGCACGGAGATTCCGCGAGCAGCGAGCGGAGCAGGGCAAGCGGGTTGTTGTTTGAATCCGTGAACGTGTGGAATCCATGGTGATTAGGGTGAGCCGAAAGTGCCGGGCACAGCCAGATGCCCATCGGGTTCTCTTCTAGGAGAAGGGCGCTGGGCTTTGGGTTTGATCCGAAGGGCACGTTCTCCCCTTTGTAAACCGATAGCTCCGTGGCAGGCAGTTAGGACACGCTGAAGGACAGTAAAGGTGGAGCTGTCACGCTCAAAGGCCCTGGGGATGAACAAGTTGCATTCGAGACTACACTCCAGCGAGATCTGGGTCCCCGGGCGCTCCGGGCACAGGTCCGGGATCTTTCATCTGCCATGTGGATATTTTCCTTCCACCTACTTACGGGAGCTGACCCTGAAGTATTCATTCTCTTGTTTTGTTTTGTTTTCTTGTTGTCCCAAGCTAATGTGCATGCGCGGTCGCCGGGGACTCCCCTGGGGCCCCACTTGTGTTGGCTTGTTACAAGGCGCGAGAATGCGCTCTAGGGGAGACTGCCAAATGCTGGAAGGGATAGGATCTTCACGGGACTCCGGGAAAGGCTGGAGTTCCGCGTCAATTTAAAGGAAGCGCGTTTGGATAGGCCCAGGCTGAGAGGTGTGTCAACGGGTTATCTTCGCTTCTGGCTGCTTCCTAGGAAACTCCAAGGTCTAGATAGATGTGGAATGTTGTGTCCCCCCTTATCTGAAGCGCTGCCCGAGTTTGCATTTGGCTTCTTCAGAGCCTGGTGAATGGCAGCGCAGATTGTACAGCATCTCACTCTGAGAGGGTTGCCTGCGATCTCTGGTTTGCCCAAGCGCTTATTAACTGTAATATTATTTGAGTGCCCCACTTCATTTCGTTTTGTGAAACCTGAGTTACTATGAACTAAAGAAGGGATCCTGGAACCCAAATACATTTTTGAATTTTTTGATACCAAAGCAGTATGATTGCATATTTCTCAAGACACGAAAGTGGTATATTGAAGATGTGGGAATACAATTCCTGCTGGAAGAACACTTTGACTTCTAGCAGGTTGTTTGTGCCCCTAGAGAGTTTCGAAATGTAAAGACCATTAAATCTGTCAATTAGAAGGAATTCTTATTTTAGCTGAAAAATACTTCAAAGTAAAAAGCCAAACTCATTAGTGAGTTGTAAATTATTTTACTGGAAACTATTTCATTTAATACTTTATTTTTTGAATATGCAATAGATTGATGTGTTTAAAAATTGCAATGATTGGGGGAAACATGGACGGCTTTCCTCTCTCTCTGCCTTAGCTCACACCACAAGACTGGTCATCCACAAGTATCTACTTTTATAAGTCGTTGCGTATCATTTCAGAGTGCTTTATTTTCCCCTTCATGAAAGTGAGCTCGTTGTACACTCTGGTGCAGCTAATAAAAGGGGTCATTGTTATAGATTTAAAAAGATTCAAATGACCAAATGTAACATGTGGGTCTTGTTTTGGTGGCTGAAACCCTTGATTCCATAAACACAGGATGGCTAGTGTGTCAGTGCAATTACGTGGAAAAATCACAAGTTAAAAGATTCTTCATGCCTCAGACATATATAATGAAAGTATTTCAGAGTGAGGTGCATTGGTATTTGAACTGCAGTAGGAGAAGCAAATGAGAGGCGATACGTGGAAGCTGGGTGAATGGTTGGCGAGGCTTGCTTTTATTTCTCTATTTATTGTGTATCTTCGACAAGTTCCCTAATTTAACATGAATGTTTAGAAGGCGCTTTTGTATTACTAAGCTTTTAAAACCAAAAATGGATTGGCTGTAGATTACATGGCAGAATAGATATAACAAAGTTAAGCTTTAATATGTGATTTGACTTTATGAAAAATTTCATAAAGACAAGAATATGTACAACTTAGAGGTAGCATTTTTAAAACAATGTAATAAATATGTAGGTCCTCAGATTAAGAAATCGGCCACTGTAGTTACTTGGAGGCACGTGACCTCTCCCTGAACCCATCTCCCTGCTTCCTCTCAGGGTTAATCACCGGCTTGAATTTTCTATTAGTCATTCTTTTAATTTTCCCTCCTTTCTCCTCAAAAATGTATTCTAAGCACTTTCAGGCCTGCAGTGAATTTGCAATAAAAATAGTAAAATGAATGCCCATGGAACCACAAAGACTTGAACATTTTTTATATTTTGCTTTAGTTGTTCTATGTATGTGAACATGTGTATATCACACTTTTTTTTACCTGGTTAGACTATAAATATTCCCAAATATTCACACGTGCTTTGTTTTGCTGAACCATGTGGGAGCGCTTTTATATGTCATGGCTCGTCTCCCCTGCCCCTTACACCTCGGTGTTTTGCCTCTGAAAACAACTTCCCACAATGCAATTCTCAGGTTGCTGCAAAATGTGTCATTCAGTCTGTCCCTTTGCGGCTCAGGGATGTTGGAGCTCTTCCCACCTTGGTTGCTGGTTAGAATTCCCCTGATGGTTTTTGTCCAGGTGTCCTTCCTGCTTTTCCTGTGCAAGAGCTTTCTCTACAACTTGGCTGGTCAAAGTGCCTGCCGCCCGCACTCCAGCAAAATGGGCATCGACTGGGAGCTGGTTAAAAATTTCTACTGAGGTTCCTTCCCCGACTTATCGAGTCAGTTCTGCATTTGACAAGATCCTCAGGTAATTCCTATGCTTGTTAAGTTTTGAAAGGCGATTCCACAACTGTATCTTGGAATAGAATTGTGGGTAGTAGGTTTGAGGATCTCAGATTTCCTCTAAAAAAAAAAAGGGTTTTCACAGAGTACCAATTTATACCCAAACAACAGTTTAATATATGAAGTTATAATATATAAAAATTATATACATATAAGTAATAAGCTGTGTTATATAAATAAAACTAAATATTAACAGCATACTGATATATTAATATATTGATATATAACATAAGTATATAATTTATATTAACTTTATATATATATTAAAAAACTCATCCTTTATTTATGCTCATGAAGATATTAAATACATAAACATATATACCAATCCTTGATATCATGACTTTGTATAAACACATTATGTTTAAATGTGTATTTAATGTACATATATTTTTAGCATCTATTCTGAAATGTTTAAAATTTTGCAAAGTTTTTAAAAAATACAAAATGCAGTATAGTACAAATAGAAAATGTAGAAAACATAATATGAAATTGTCTACATAACAGAAATTTTACATCACTGGAAATCAGGGCATCCAGGACACCAAATATCAAGCCTGGGGAAAGAAAAAAAGAAAAAATAATTCCTAATGCCTCTAAAGCCTGGTCAGAGTGTGAATTTCACCAGTTTACACCGAAAATATCTTTTAGAGTCAATTTCTTTTAGGCAGGATGCAAAACACGTTTCTTGAGGCATTTCTCTTCTGGGTCTCATCATCTACCTTGATTTGTGGGTGACCTTGGCAGTCACCGGGTTAGTGTGGTTAGCAGGACCCAGCGGTGGTTCTGTGAAACCTCTCCCTTGTGTGGTTGACAGTGGGACCCAAGGGTGTGATTCAATGAAAGTGCACATTTTTGTGATGGCACATCTCATGCTTCGTCCTGCATCACATCAGTATAACTATAACGGCTGCTTGCCCCGGTGTGGGTGAAGCTACAAGCCGCCGGTGGGCCAGGTAGGCAGAGAGCTTTGGTCCCGCTCCTAACGTTCTGATCATCTGGCAGTAACCAGCGATGTGGCGCATTCATAGCCTGCACATGCGCATGTCCCCTTCCTGTGTGCACCTCGGTGTCTTGGCCTCCGTGCTTGTCTCTGGAATCGGTTACTTCATTAGGGTTGCAGAATGACGGCTTTTCCATGCAATCATTTCTCCCAAGTCTTTAGCTGAAATTCTGTAGTTTTCTGTCTTCAGGGGTTAAGACTTAATTCTTCCTTGTTATTAACCAAGTTTCCAAATAAGGAATTGAGAAATGCTCCGGTGACGAGTGTTGTGCCCAAAGTCGCAAATCCCAGAAGACCACCAAGGAGCCAACACCGATGCAAAAGCAAAGAGCCTTTATTCGAGCTAGCTCGAGCTCAGTCTCTCATCTACACCAATGCAGTGGCAAGATGCCAGAGAAAGAGAGCAAGTTTCAATACCACAAAGGTTTTATGGGGTTCTAGGGTAGTTGGTGGGGTGATAGGTCGTGGCTCTGGTCAATTGGCTGGGTCTAAGGGTGGTGGGTGAGCTCTTTGCTGACTGGAGAAGAGAGAGACCAAGCTCCGATTGGGTGAAATAGGATCCAGGTCCCGATTGGCTGAAATAGAATCTGGGAACTTGCCTTTTCAACGAGAAAGGCTCTTTGATATTTCCCCCTTAGGGTTTTCCTTTGGGAATCATTACGAGCACATGTATTTTTAGTATTCGGTGTGTTTCAGTCCGTTGCAGTTTTAGGGTTCAGAACATCCTACATTGGGCCGTTGGAAGCCCCCTGCCGCTGGCCTCCGCACCCTCTGAACACACCCTGCGATGGCTTCTCTGCCTTCTGGGCCACGAGATAGCTTACTCAACAGTTTGTATTTCCTGTACCTGAAGTAGCGTTTCTCATTGCTTCCTGCCTGTGAGTTCTTCCAAGCACTTTTCTCTACACAGCCCGGCTGGGGAAGCGTGTGTAGGTTCATGCTGCTATTTTATCATAAAAAATGTTTTAATTAAAAAAAAATGTTTATGCTTGAATTTTCCTAGACTACAAACCTTGCTTCCCAACCATATTAACACAACCCTTTGCCCAATCCAGCAATACATATAAAATATTTGTAAGGGGCAACGCCAATATTTTAGCAGTAGAGCCACCTGGTGAGAGGTGTGATGAGCATTTTAATTTTTGGAAAATAGAATATGATACATGAAGGTTGTAGAGCCCCTCAGCTTAAGTGTTTCCTTCAAGTGGTTAACCTGCCAGCTCCATACACCCCTTGCCTCATTTATTTCAGTTTTTTCCATTTTCAGGATTTTTGTTCTTGAATGTGTAAACATTCAATATGGTTTTCGATATAGTTCCAAATTAAAATCCAGATAATGTGGTTATATTTAGGCATCTTATTTCTGTCCCTCCTCTGCTGCCCTGTTCCTTACCGATAAGTCTGTGGTTTGCAACACATTGCCCTGCCTTTTTTTTCCTTTTCACTTAAAATATAAAATATAACTTGGAGACCACGTGCTATCACTTCACATCTGTGTAGAAGAGACCTTATGCATTCTTATCGCGGCTGTACAGCTCTTCATTATTATAATAAGGCCATCACAGTTTTTTAAGCAATTCCCATGACTGAATATTTGGGGTAGTTTCCAATCTTTTCGGTTGTAAATAATCTTCAGTAAATAATTATGTGCATGTATCACTCGGCTTTTTGGCCAGGGTATTTTTGGAGTATGGTCTCACAGTGTAAATGCCCGATCAAGGGATGAATGCATATAAAAATATGGTAAACTGTGTCTAATTTGCCTTCAAATTGTATAAGGTGGGGCAGTTGTGTATACAACTTTCAATGGCCTCTCCTTGGCTTGGAGACATGTCACTCCAACCTCCACCTACATCTCTCGGGCCAGTCTCCCTTCTGTGCGTTTGTGTCCAGACTTCCTCTTTTGACAAGGACACCAGTCACTGGTTTAGGGCTCACCCTACTCCACTATGACCTTATCAGAAGTCTTTTGCATCTTCAAAGGCCCTATTTCCACATCAAGTCATAGGGGTTAGGACTTTGGTATATCTTTGGGAGGGGACACAATTCAACTGATAACAGCACCCCTCTGAACCAAACTGGTTATGTTTGTTTTAGGACTCAGTAACCTTCACAGACGTGGCCGTGAACTTCACCAGGGAGGAGTGGGCCCTGCTGGACCCCGAGCAGAGGAATCTCTACAGAGACGTGATGCTGGAGAACTGCAGGAACCTGGCCTCCATAGGTGAGGATGCTGCCTTCCTGCCTAGGCCTGGTTGGGAGGGACGCTGGGCAGGAACCGTCTCTGTTCCAGGAGGTGTGCTGAGAAATGGGAACGGTCTTGCAATTACTCGGGACACAGGCGCTGCCCCAAGTGGTGGACAAGGGGTTTCCCCATGAAACCAGAAATCTGTCCACTGCATTACATTTTTATTCTCTTTATGATTAACAGCCCTTGGGGATCCTTAGATGGGTGAACATGGGGTACAGTTTTAGTGCATTCATGAGGCACATGGAGGGCTATCTTGCTGTTCTGTACTCGCACTGTGACCCAAGCCTGCACCAGTGTCTTGGAAAGTCCTGGCTCCCTTACCTCATGCCCTCTGCTGTTGCCCAGGGGCCAGATCTCACCTAGGCAAGCAGATCTGATCTCCCATTTGGAGCAAGACATGGGTCTGGACTAGTGCAGGGGGATTTTCCCTGGCCACTTGTGTACCTGAATACCACGCAAATATGAATACTTATGAGGAAGGATTTTACAAGCAACGGGGAAATGTTAATTAAGAATGCCGTTCACCCATTGTGGAAAATAGCTTACAGCTCCTCAAAAAGTTAACACAGAATTACCATCTGACCCAGAAATTCCACTCCTAGGTAACTACCTAAAGGAATTGAAAACAGGCATTCAAACACATACATGTATAGGTTTCATAGCAGCATTATTCATGGCTGCCAGAAGGTGGTAACAGAACAAATGTCCACTGAGGGATGAATGGAAATACAAAATCTGTTCTATCCATACATGCTATGGAATATTATACAGCCATAAAAAGAAGTAAAGTTCTGAACCATGTTGCTACATGGATAAACCTCGAAAGCGTTAAGTGAAAGAAGCCAGACATGAAAGGCCGCATACATATTGTATGATTCCATTTATATGATTTATCTAGACTAGATAAATATACAGGGACAGAAAGCAGATTAGCGATTACCGGGGTCTGCAGAGAAGGGAGTAAAACAATATAGTCCATAACAGACCCTTCGTCCAGTTCTCTTCCACTTGGCATTCCTGGTAAACCCTTGATCTCCACAGAACCTTTTCTTAGCAGCCTGCCTTCTACCCTGAATTCCCATCCTTACCAGTCAAACTCCTGACAACCCAAATCCCTACTGTCTCCCTCTGCTTGCTTACTCCTGCTTTCTTTCCTTTCACACTTTCCTCATATATGTTGAATGAACACTTGACCATCTTTACCTTCAACAAAGAATTTAACTTTTATGCCACTTTTTTTCAGATTGGGTGACTCAAGATGAAACCAAAGACTCCACCCCTCAGCAGGACGTTCTCACTAAAAAAACACTTTATGAAGCAAATAGAGCGTGTCTCGTGAGCAACAGTTCCTGGCCCTCCACATTAGGGGAAGACCAGAAATGCCACAAAATAGAGGGGAAGCCCAAGCAAAGGGGGCAAAAATGGAATCAAGTTGCAGTTGCCCATGAGAAAGGAGAGTCTCTGGTTGAAAACTGTGAATATCATGAAATGAAGGACAATTCTAAACCTTGCTCAAAGCTTGAGCCTTCACGGGGAGATTACACAAGAAAATATATCCAAATATGTGGCTCAAATGCTTTGAAACAAAATCCTGTCTTAACTAATAGGAAAATCTACAAAGACAACATATATGATAGAGCCTTGTGGCAGAGCATTGAGTGGATTCCATGTATGAGAAGTCAAACAGAGCCAAAATCAAAGACAATGTGGATTGACAATCCAAATGATGTGCTTTGTATACGTAATGAAATGTACATGGGGGCGAACATTCAGGAATGGGATCCACTGGGAAAAGCCTTCAGTGAAGACATTTCCCTTAGGGCATATAAGACTCATGTTAAAGAAAAAACTCAAGAGTCTAATTGGTGTGAAATCACCTTAGGAAATAGCTTAATCTATCCTGTGCAGATGCAGTCCTATGCAGCAGAGGCAAATAATGAGAATAATCAAAGCGAGACAGCCTTTGCCAACATTCCAAATTCTGTTTCACACAAGAGAACTAGGATGGGCAGGAAAAGCTATCAATGTCACAATTGTAGGAAAACTTTTGTTTACCAGTCATTTCTCATGAGACACATGGAAATTCACACTGGAGAGAAACCCTATGAATGCGAGAAATGTGGGAAAGCCTTTAGATATTACTTACATCTTCGTAAACACTTCAGAAATCACTTTGCAGAGAAGTCCAATGAATGTAAGGAATGTGGGAAAGCCTTCAGTAAGTCCTCAAAACTTACTGAACATATAAGGGTTCACACTGGAGAGAAACCCTATAAATGCAAATGTGGGAAAGCCTACACCAATTCTTCAGGACTTAAATATCATCTAAAGACTCATCATTGAAGCCCTGTGCATGAATGGAATGTGGGAAAAGCTTCATTAATGTTCTCAAAATGCTGACTGTGAGAAGGGCATGTTGAAAAGGAGCTCAGTGAGACAATGTGTATAGGAAGGTTTTTCTGAATTTTTGTATTTTACAGAAATGTGAAAATCCACACATTTCACATTCAAAGAAATCCTGTGAAGTTAAGGCTATGGAAATCTTTTGATCTTCATCACCTTTAATAGACAATTGTCCTCACACTGGAGAGAAAGCCTATCAACAAGGAATGTGGAAAAACCTTCGTTGTCTCAATATAGAGCCTAAGAACCCACACTGCAGAGACAACTTACCAGAGTAAGGAATGTGGGAAAGATCCCTTTAGACATTCACTCCTAAGTTACACAAGACCACACTCTGGAGCAGACACTATGATTGGAATAGATATGAGGAAGCCTTCAACCCAGTTTTTCACTTACAGGGCACAAATGAGTACACAGTAGATACGAAACATGGTAAATGTTATGATTGCTGCTGTGATCATTGTCTCATCCTCTATTTGGAACCAAAATTCATTATTTCCAAGTTTTTCTTTTCTAATAAAGTCCTATAAGATGTTGTATATTTTCTGTACCCTTTCAGCTATGCCATATGCATTTGATAGGTAGTAGCTTCATTACAGTTCACTTACATATATAGGGTCTTGCCAATGTGAAGCCCTGTCTGAGCTGTCTTTAATTAAGATTCAGGATTAGTATTTTTTTTGTCTGATTGTTATTGGTCATGATTTGACTGCATTAGGGTCAGCATATGTGGTCTTTGTGACACTGATATAGGGTACTTGTTCTGACTTTAAATTTCCATGTGTCAATTACCCAGCTGTACCTATTCTATCATCTTTTTTTTTTGGTATTATTAATATATAATCATATGAGCAACATTGTGGTTACTAGATTCTCCTCATTATCAAGTCCCCACCACATACCCCATTACAGTCACTGTCCATCAGCGTAGTAAGATGCTATAGAGCCACTGCTTGTCTTCTCTGTGCTATACTGCCTTCCCCGTGCCCTGCCCCCCCACATTACGTGTGCTAATCATAATGACCCCTATTCCTCTTCCCCCTCCCCACCCATCCTTCCCAGTCCTTTTCCCTTTGGTAACTGTTAGTCCATTCTTGGGTTCTGTGAGTCTGCTGCTGTTTTGTTCCTTCAGTTTTTGCTTTGTTCTTATGCTCCACAGATTAGAGAAATCATTTGGTACTTGTCTTTCTCTGCCTGGCTTATTTCAGTGAGCATAATACCCTCTAGCTTCATCCATGCTGTTGTAAATGGTAGGATTTGTTTTCTTCTCGTGGCTGAATAATATTCCATTGTGTATATGTACCACATCTTCTTTATCCATCCATCTACTGATGGACACTTAGGTTGCTTCCATATCTTGGCTATTATAAATACTAGTGCAATAAACAGAGGTGCATATGTCTTTTTGAATCTGAGAACTTGTTTTCTTTGGGTAAATTCCTAGGAACGGAATTCCTGAGTCAAATGGTATTTCTATTTTTAGTTTTTTGAGGAACCTCCATACTGCTTTCCACAATGGTTGAACTATTTACATTCCCCCCAACAGTGTCGGAGGGTTCCCTTCCTCCGCATCCTCACCAGCATTTGTTGTTCCTAGTCTTTTCTATGTTAGCCATCCTAACTGGTGTGAGGTGATACCTCATTGTGGTTTTTATTTGCATTTCCCTGATAATTAGCTATGTGGAGCATCTTTTCATGTCTGTTGGCCATCTGAATTTCTCCCTTGGAGAAGTATCTGTTCATATCCTCTTCTATCATCTTTATTAAAAAGAGTACATAGATTTGTTTTTCCAGAATTAGTACTGTTTAATGTTTTTAAATGCATTTCTGATGTTTTCTCATGGCTCACAACCCTAGCCAGTTAGTAGGGTTTGAATTCCTGGAAGAGGGTTTGTCACTCTTTTTTTCTCAACCACATTTCCTTTGCTCTCTTTCCTTGTTACTCTCCGGAAATTGGATGAAATTCACTGAGTTAGCACAAGCAGCTTTAAGATCATTGGAATGAAGGTCAAGGTCCTAATAACACAACCCTCAAAACACAGGAGTCCTCACTCCCCAGTGGCATATTTGTGGGTGTCCATGGCTACAATAGGCTGGCTGTATTTCTAGACCTATGTGAAGGAAGCCCTAGTTTGACTAAGAAGCATTTTAAGGGAAATATTTGTAACTCGAGTGAAGTGCTAAAGGATAAACCCAGAGTGTGGTTAGTTTTTTTTTTAGTAGCTGTTTCTATGTTTCAAAACACTGTGTATTTCTTTGGTGTTGGGTGGGCTCAGGGTTCAGGATATATCTGAATGGTCGAGATTTTTTAGAATGTTTTACAATCTCTTACTACAAAATTTTTTATTCTTGATCTTTTACTGAGCAACTTTATAACAAAATATCCCACTTTGGAAGTGGATTATCAAAGTCATAGTTTTGTCAATTCTTGCTTAATGTATTTGGTGACAATGTTATTAGATGCATAGGAGTTTGAGTACTTTCTATATTACAGGTGAGTTTTCTTCCTAGTCTGTGTTTTAACCATCTTTTCTACCAGCAATGTGTTTTTTTTAAATTCATTCATATGATAAGGGGAAAATTTACGTGCCCCTTATTATGAGCAAGTCTTTATGTATTTCAGTCTTTACATATATCACATCATTTATTACCACCACTCCATGGAAAAACACTTTTAACATCTCTTTTTTATAAATGAGTAAACTGAAGCACAGAATGTAAGGAAACTTGCTGGTGTTAAACAGTTTCTTTTGAGTTTCAAAGCAACACGTGTTTTCAGTGTGTAATTCAGGGTCCAGTACATGTATTAGTTTCTTGCTGCTGATGTAACAAATTACCATAAACCTAGTGGCTTTAAACTGCACAAATGTATTCTTAACATTTCTGAAGTCCCAAATGGTAACAACTGGGCTAAAATAGACGTGTCCATAGAGCTATGTTCTTTACTGGAAGCCCAAGGGGGAAAGTCCATATTTTTGCCTTTTCTAGCTTCTGGGGGCCCCCTGCCTTCCTGGGCTCACGGCCCCTTCCTCCTCCTTCAAAACCAGCTCCAGTGGTTGAGTCCTTCACATATCATATCCCTCTGACCCCCACTTTTCTGTCCTTCCTCCTCATTTATCCTTATGACCTTTGTGACTACACTGGGCCCACCTGAATAATCCAGGATCACTCCCTATCACAAGATCAGCTGATCAGCAACCTTAATGCCATTTTTCCATGCAAGGTAACATTCACAAGTTCTGGATACTATGATGTGAATATCTTTGGGGGACATTCTTCTGGGTACCACAGTACATAGGTGAAATAATCAAGTTTATTAAAGGACCAGAAGAAAACCGTTCACCCTAAATTATTCTGGCTTTTGAGACAATGCTATTATCAATCAGATGTATATATTTTCCTGAGTTTCTCCTTTATGTCATGGACTGTGGTACACTCTGGGCCTAGACTGGGTTAGCAAACTTTTTCCTATTAATGGCCAAAGAGTAAATATTTTAGGCTTTGTGGGCCACACAGTGACTGTTTTCACTGCCCAACTCTGTCCTGACAGCCGATGCAGGCCAACAAGTGCATGTGGCTGCGTTCCCATGGAATGTCTGTATAGACACTGAAATTTGAATTTCATATAATTTGTACATATCATGAGATATTCTTTTGATGATTTTTGCCCCAACCATTTAAAAAAGTAAAAGTATTATTAACTCATCATTCATAATTCACTGACCCCAGGTCTAAAGGAAAGAATAAAGCAAGTTTTTGCCTCATGGTATCTACTTTCTTGTAGAAAAGACATATCTAAACACACAGCTCTATCTTGATTCTTTATTTTCCTTATAACTTTTTAAAAATTGGGAAACAGAGCTGGCTACCCAAAAGTATATGAACGTGTACATGTACAGTTAGAAGTCAATGAAGTGGTCACACACCCACCATCCAGGCCCACAAAGGGTTCATCATTAAATGCCAGGTGATTCTTGTTTATACCTATGGGTGGCATCCCCCAAACATTTCCAAGAGGAAGCCACTATCTTACATTTTAATTTTTCATTCCCTTGCTTTCTTATGTTTACTGCTATGCATAAAAGCCCAAATACCATATTTTCTCATTTTTCTGTTTTTCATGCTACATATAGTTGCCAGGCAGCTGCCTCTGGGGAAGTCTTTCCCTGCACACTAGGTGAAACCTAAACCTGGACAGGGGAGGGTTCTTGACTCTGAACAGGAAAGAATTCTAAATAGGTCAGACGAGTGTAGGTAGGTAAGGAAGGAATTCGTGAAAGCAGGAGTAGCAGCAAATGTCAGCAGCTGGGCAGGAAGTAGAGAGCAGGGAGCAAAGAAAAACGGAAGAAAGGGAAACTCATTGAACTCCTGCTTGGCATGGGGCAGATCCCTTGCCGGCTCCTAAAGCCAGGGTCACCTGGCATCCAGTGTCCACTTGAATGTGCATGGCATGCAAACTAAGCCCCTACCACCCCAGGATTTGGGGGAGCTGCAGAGCCCTGGGTGGAGTGAGATGATGTTCTGAGAACTTCCCAGAGGCAAACAAAGGTGATTTTCAGGTATGCTACTGAGGAGCACGATCATACGACTGCAGTCCTGTCCGGTCCCCTAGGTGGCGTGAACTTGGAAGCCCAAATCAGAGTCTCAGTAACCCCTCCCTACTTGTCTGAAGTAGAACAGAGAGAGAAGACCTGTGCTGAAGTCTAGAAAATTGAATGAAATAGCAAAATAAAGATGCCACTGGAAGAATGCAGAGACAAAATGCAGCAAGTTGAGCAGAGAAAAGTCTTTATTTAAATTAAAAAGTACGCACTCAACGAAAGGAGTGTGGGCAACCTCAGAGAGGAGGCACGCTTAGAGACTTAGATTCTGTCTTTTAAAGATTTCAAGAATGGGACAAAGGGCAGGATGGGTGGGGTTTTGGGTGGAGGCTTGACTTGCGGTCTCATGATGTATATCTCCTGTAAGAGACATTATATCACCATTCATAGTCTGTTCTCCAGATATTCTGTACGATAAACGTAACACAAAGAATTTCTTGATCCTGTTCTTCTCCAAGATAGTGGTCACCCTCAAACAGTGGGGACATATAATTCAAGACTACTTGTCCTGCCTGAAGGTTGTTGACGGATGACCATATAATATGTTAGGAATCTTACCTCCTAACTCCCTGGTTTTTAAAATGGAATCTTAGCCTTAAGATGTAGTTCCTCCTGTTCTTACTATACTGTTTATGTCTTGGCATTTTTCATCATAGGCAGGAAAAGTTGATCATGATTCGTGTCTCGTGTCCCTGCCCCACCTCAGTGGGATGGTATCACTGTGAGCATTTCTCCATGTCCCGCTTCTCCCAGAGAAAGATGAGTTGAGTTGCCTGCAAATTTGTTCTTTCATTTTCACTGCCTTGTAGGTTATTTTTGAAGTTAAATTCGTTTAAGAGGCCCCTGTTATGTAGCTCACTGTAAATATTACAAACATTGCTGCTAACACCAATTTGATAGGTCTCCTGATGGTAAGAGACACTCAAAGCGGAGTTGCTGGGTTGTACCGTCCACATACGTCTGGTAGAAAGGTATGTTACAAAATTGCCAGAAAAAGCACGTCTGTAGAGACAGCGGATCAGCGGATGCCTGCGGCTGGAGGTGGGACAGGAAATCGCAAGCTGGCCAGAGGGAACTTGGGTGGGGGATGGTGGCAAAGATCTAAAACTGGATTGGGGTGAGTGACGACCGCACAACTCTGTAAGCTTAGGGGAGATCGTTGAATTATACACTGACAAAGGGAGGCTTTTAAAGTCTGTAAATTATGCTTAATGAACCTGTGGAGGGAAGGGAAGGAGGGAGAAAGGGGAAAGGAGAGGAAAAAGAGATGTCACAGACCTCTTGGGTGCCCACAGCTTCATGGGGCCCCAAAGCTCTTTTAAGTTCCTCTTTGGGTGTTTGGAGGAAGACCTGGGGGCAAGGGACCCCGCCTGTGGAGGAAAGACTCCAGCTTGGCCCTTCCTCCCACTGCCTGTCGCTTGCGGTTTCCCAAGCTCACAGCTTGCTTGGTCCTGCACGGCACGGCGCCTTCAGGCCCCTCCACACCACCCGAACCCCTCAAAGGGAGCTGGGTCCATTCGAACCCCCAGGGGGCGCTACGCAGGGAAAGGCCCCGACTGGGAGTCAGAATCCCAGGACTGAGCCTGGAGGGGAGGGGCAGGGAGTTGATTCCCAGGTCTGGTAAAATGAGCATTCTTAACAGTTGGCTTAACAAAACATACCAGGCCCTTTCTAAGTGCTTTACAAATGTTAACTCATTTAATGCTCTCAGCCCTATGAAGTAGATGCTGTGTGCTCATATTATAGCGGAGGAAACCGAGGTACAGAGAGCTGCTGGAGGTCTCACAGCCTGCCAGGGCTAGACAGGATTCCCTTTGGGCTGTCCCGCAGCAGATACTGGGCTCGCAAGCCCCAGGCGGGGAGGCCTTCCAGTATGGGCAGGGTTGTGAATTTGGGGTCTTGTCTGTCCTCCCATCCCCGGACGTGAGCTCCGCGGGCGGGACGTTGTCTCGCGCAGTGGCCTATAATGAGCACTGCGTAATGAACTTGAGGACGGAGCGAACCGCCCACCGCGGGGCACGGGCGCCACCTGGCGGCAGAATCCTACCAAGACAGCGCCGCCGGAAGACAGGTTTGCTGACCATTATGCACAGTAGGAAATCATTTCACATAAACACAGTTGCACAAAAAACCACCCTGTACTACGTGGTGAGGTTTTTTCCTACTCTATTCCTATTTTTAAATGCAGGTCAGCTCTCTTTAAATTGATTTCCTGACTCTGTAATGAGTGGCCACCGATAATCTAGGATAATGTTTCCTGCTGTCATAGGTTATCCCTATTTTTTTTCCAGCTGACAAAGATGATGATGGAGGGAAGGATTAGCACGCAGACCACTTCCTTGGTGATATTTCTCCGCCAGGTTGTGCTGTCTCCAGGGATTCTCTGCCAGCTCTGATTTCAAGATGCACTGGGCTCAGAGAGGTGAAGACACCTTGTCCAGGACCACACAGGGTGTGGGTGGCAGCGTCAGTTTCTGCCTCACTCCTGGAGGAGAGAAAACACTGAATGCTCCAAATCTCACCGCTATTGATACAATTTGATTCAGTGCTTTCTCCGTTGTTTGCCAGTGAGATTGAGCTGCGCTGGTCTGATGTTTTCTTCTACTGTATAATGTACATTTAGGACATTCCGGAGCTCAGACTTAAAAATGTAAGTCTTCATACATAAAAGAATGAATCTGAGTTAGAGATAAAAGTCTGTGGTGAGCCCACAACCCATGGAACCGCCAGCACCATCGCCAACACTGTCACCATCCCCACCCCCACGGTGGCCACCACCCACATCGCCACCACAATCATCCCCACCTCAAAGCAGGTATCAGAAGCCACTCTCTTTGTCTGCTAGCATGGCCTTACTCCCGTACATCTGCACTCCCATCCCTCTCTCCACCCCGGGCCAAAGGGCATTCCCTAATGAGGACCCCCAGGAAGTGCTGCCTGGCTGGGAACCAAGAGGATTCTGGGTTTGGTTCTCTGGCCTGTCTGTCAGGGCCCTCAGACGTGTTCTGGGCTTGTTGCCACAGGGTTGACCATCTGTAAATGAACAGACCAGCCCCGGACTAGAGGAAGGTCTGCTCAGCGTTGGCAGAGGGCACTTGAGATGGACTCCAGCACCACAGATGACTGGACTTCGGGAGGGCTGAGAGTGGAAGGTGGCGGCCCGTGTGGGCTGCCCAAACACACAGGGCGAGCGTTACCTCTGTGGGAAGTGCACTTGGAAGATCGCTCTTTCTGAAAGCCTTCTCAGAGAGTCTGTATGTTGAACTGGACTGGCGAGAACAAATGTGTTCAGATCCCTTATTTTTCTTTAACTCTGACTTCCTGTCATCCTACTATTTATATTCTTCACTATGTCTTGATTAGAGCTAATTCATCAAAGTTGTGGTGGGCAACTGGGAGTTTTCTTGGGCGATTTTGTGGAAGCAAGGTTGACATGCTGCTTTCATTCCTCCCTCTTGAGAGGTGAAGAATTCCAAAACAGGAATTTTCTTTTAAAGTCTTAAAGATACACCAAAATATTCCACAAAGATGATAATTAAGAGAGAACCTAGCTTCTGTTATTCCAGCACACATGCTCAGTTTTTATAGATGTTTGTTTACTCAAAAAGGAAGTCACAGTCTTTCTAAAGCTGCCTAGCAAGCATTCTCCCTTAACGTGCCAGTGTTCATGCAACTATTAGGGATTTCTTCAAACTGTTTTGTACCTAAAGTTAATCACTTTTACAATTAAAGGATGACTGCAGCATCTCATTCTTATAGTGAAAATATACGTTTGTATTTCAATTGGCTGATAGAAGTTCATCACAGCTTGTCACTCCAAGTTAACCTATATTGGAAAGCGCGTGTGCAAAAGCCCAGCTAAAACGTTTTGCTCCTACAAATGACAGTTATGCTACGTGTGTATGACAGTAATCCATGTGACTGCAATGTCATTGATCACCCACGAGTTCAGGGCCGTCACGCTGAAATGCACAGCTGGTAAGCCATGCTTCCAGAAGCAAGGCCAAACCCAACACCGCTCAGCATGTTTTTGGAGGGCATGCAGAGCCTCCATACAAAGCACAAAATCCCTTTTCCAGGCCCAAAGCAACCCTTTGCAGCAAAAGCTCCTCACACCCTCTGTGATCTAGCACAGGAGCAAAAATGGCCTTTTCCTGCTTTAGCACATTTTAATCTTTATAGATTTATTTTATATCTCTTTATCGATTTTTTTTTTTTTTAAAGAGTCAAGCCAGTGAGGTCAAGTTCCATCTGCCCATTTAAGAGGGAGGGACCTGGTTGACCTCCTGGAGGTCAGATGTCCTGACATCCCACTTGAGAGAAAGTTCTGGAAGGCTGTGATCAGAGCATATGCACCTTTAGTTGCCACCCAGAAAGTGAGATGCAGCCAGTCTGTTTGGGTCCTGGGTACCAACAAGAACACACCCTGTTTTATCTCCGTACTATCCCTTTGCTGCTCACAAGGCCTTCTTTTTAGATTGGGATGTTGTACTGATACCAAGCAGGCTGCTATTTCCATTATTTTTCTTGCTCAAAGTTTTTTTTTTAACTGTTGATGCAGTAGCTTTGCACATTGGAAACAGCCTTTTTGCTGTTAAAATTTTAAGGCAACCTCGATTTTTTAGATGTTTTGAATTTTTTCAAAGGGTCAGAGCAGTTGTGTTTCAGTTTGCTGGGGGGTTTCATGGGAGTTAAGGGAGGACAGGGTCTGGGGAGGGACAATCACTGAGGGTAAGTCACCAGATGTGGGTCAGGCCCAGTGGCGGGCCAGGGCAGTTCATACCAGCTCACGAGGACTGCTCGCCCCCACCCTACCCAGTTCCATGCTCAGATCACGTTGGTAGGTTGAAATCGCCATGGTGGGAGAGGGGAAATATTTATACCACAGCAATGGGCAAGCACTCTGAGTTTTCTCCTGCAGGGCCAATTGTTAAACATTCACCACGGGTGAGCCTCACCACATTACAGGGTCAGATGAGGGGAGCGGAAGACTGGATTATCTGAACAGGTAAGAAAACACTAGATTCATTTTCATCTTCATCACTACCATACTCATCATCACAGATACTTTTGAGCATTTACTGCACACCAGATGCTGTTCGAAGGACATGTATCAATTCATTTACTGTCACAAAAACCCTCTTGGAGGTATGTACTATTATCCAGCCATTTAAGGAGAACAAGGCTGAATGGTACTTTCCTGGATTAGGAAGGCGGGTGGTGGATTATCTGTCTGGATTTGGTTGCATTACATTTGACAGGGCAGTTGGCATGACGCAAGGACAGGAGTTATCCACGGCATTCTTAGCCCTCATTCCCAAACCCAGCCCATGGCAGGAAGGGGAGTTAGCTCATCTCTGTGACCCTACGGCAGGCAGTAGGGCCATCCACGTATATTCCTTTTCCTCTCTCCTTCCAGACACACGGAAAGATTGCACTTCCCACCCGCCTTTGAAGCCAGGCATGGTCAAGTGACCTGCTAGGGCTCATAAAAATGAGTGGCAGGGACAGGCATTGTATCCAGGGAAGAACTTTACGATTCACTGCCGCTTTGCCACTTTCTCTCTTTTCAATGCCACAGAGACTGGCAAGACTCCAGAGATGCTGTCCCATCAGCCTGGGTCACAAGGATGACATGGAGCAGAGCTCTTGGCTGCCCCACAATAGACCAGAGACACCAGTGAGTAATAAGCTTTTGCTGCATTGGGCTGCTGAGATTGTGGGGTTGTTTGTTACTGCAGCACAACCCAGCCTGTCCTGACTGATGCAGCTGAAACATGGAGGCCTCAATAAAAGAAAATGCATGAATGTACGAAGAGCAGGGAGTAGGGACAGGGGCATAAATTATCCCCCGGACTGGAGATGGAGGAAACAGCCATGTCGTAAGCTGACTGTCCCACACATACGCTAGTAACCCATCAAAGCCAGGCTCTAACTTTTATTTCCTATGGTCACAGCTCATGGTGACCCTGAAGTCTTTGCCTGATTCCTCCCCCACTGGTCAAAACTGGGGGTTTTGGGGGAGGGCGAGGAAGGAGGCGCTACAGAGACAGGACCTGAGATGCAAGGAGAGTCTGGGAGATGGGGATGAAGAGGGGGAATTAGAAACAGAGAAGCAGAACCAGGAGGCGGGGGACAAACAGAGGTTAGAGCAGGGATGGGGACACAGACGTGGAGATGACACACACGCACACTGAATGAAAAACCGAGAGAACAGGAGCTTGGGAGACAGAGGCGAAAGGAACGCTGGGAACAGAGAGAAGGGGGCAGGAGACAGATGAGGACGCGGTGAGGAGCGGGTGGAGACAGCCATGCGGGCACATGGAGGGTGGTGGAGACAGACGCAGGGGCAGAGGGAGGCAGGGGCCTGGAACTGGGAGGGAAAGATGGAAAGCCGCAGGGAACTCGGTGGGTGGAGACACAGAGGAGGCTCTGCAAGGAGCCGGGTAGGCTGGGCCCTGGCAGTAGCCCTGGGCGCCTTTGCTGGTGGTGGAGCCCAGGTCGATGCTGGAGGCACTGCCGGCACTTGAGACTCAGCCTATGCTGGACTCGAGGCCTCCACTCGATTGTGACCCGGCACCTCTGCCCTCCGTGCCGCTAATGCTTTCTTGGCCTGCACTGGACCCCAAGTATCCAGTGGACCCCCAGTAACTACCAGAGCTGAGGGATCTGAAGGTTACATGGCCCCCAGCTGAGCTCCAGCTGGATACCAGTCCCTCAGTGACATTGGCAGAGCCAAAGGTCACGCGGCCTGTGCTGGAGCTGGGGTCAGGGAAGGCGACATGGCTGACACTGGAGCTGGTGGCACGGCCTCCACTGGACATCAGGATGCCGCTCATCCTGTGGCTCAGGGTGGACCCTGGGACAATACTGGGACTCCTGCTGGTCATCGGGGGTGTGCTGGAGCTGGCCCTCCGGGCTGGAGAGGACCACACTTGGGGCTCTGTCCAGCTCCTTCAGGCCCCGCATCTGCTCCTAGGCCTCCATCTGCGGGGAGGCCAGTCACGGTACCAGGAAGGCTAAGGGCCTGCCTCCCACCCCAGCAGGCTCCCATCCTCACCAGCTTCGTCATGTGGATCAGCAGCTCCTCCTTGCTCATAGGATAGTCGTCTCTGGCCTCAAAGCCCACAGAGTCATCCCTAAAAGGGGGGGAGAAGGGAAGGGACAACGTGCCCAGCCACAAAAGGCCGATGGCCCCTCATTGCTGTACCAGAGCCCCGTCCGTAGGCAGCCCTAGGCAGCCCTGAGACCCTGCCCCTGTGGACGCCAATCAGACTGGGGCCCCACTGTCCTCCACGGTCCCCTGAAGCCCTACTCCTGGTTCCCCCAAAGCACACACTCCATCTTCTACTCCCGCCCAGAGCCGCACCGCCCTCTGATCCCCAAGAGCCACCCCAAAGCCTCTGTCTCATTTGTTCCCTTCCCCCTTGTCCCTCTTGCCCTGTGACTCACAGATGGTCAGGGAGCTGAGGTGGGGTCAGCTTCTTTGGAAATTCCTCAGGGCTCTGGCCCAGCACTAGGAGGGCGGCACCGGCCCAGCTGGCAGGAGAGTCGCTCTGCAGGGCGGAGAAGCCGGCAGCCAGCTCAGGCGCATCCCAGGTGCTGGCTCCCGGCCCCTGCGGGGTGCCCTGCGCCCCCACCTGGGCATCTAGGAAGGCCTGCACCGCCAGGAGCTCCACAAGCTGCTTCTCAATGAGGCCCAGGAAGAGGCCTACATCCTGGTCTCGCATGTAGGTCTTGACCCCCAGGAGGTCGTTGATGGTGGTGGTGTCGCCCTGCACCCTGATGAAGAGCCGCTGGATATCTGGGGTCAGAGGGCACAGGCTGTCCCAGATCCGCAGCCCGCTGAGTACCAGCCCTCTCCTCCCCTCTGGTCCTGCTTCTCGCCCTACAGAGACAGCAAATGAGGCTGGAAGGGGGGAAAGGGGGCTGCCGGGGCTCAGCCCAGTGCAGAAGGCCGGGAGGCAGGGAGGCCGAGGAGAGGCTGGAAAAGGCACCTCCACGAGGCTCTGTTACAGACATCCAAATGCCATTCCGCCCGATCGCCCCCAGAAACACTCATGGGCCTGCCCCGTGGAGCAGTCCAAGGAAATTCACAGCTGCATCAAGGAGGCTTGGGGTGTTTTTCTTATCGGACCGCAGTTGCACACAACTGGGTTAATCACTGCCTTTGGTTGGCCCGCGGGTCGCGGTCATGACACACTCCCACAGAAGGCCCCTGCGTACCCCACTTGCATTTAGTCAACTGATTATCATTAACAAAGTGAAAAGACACCATGACCTTGATAAAAATCTGCCCCCAGGCCTCACTGGCCTCACCGCAGAGCTCCAGACTCATACATACACTGCCCTCCCACCCTGAGCTCAGGCCACCCCAAACCCACTTCTCCCAGGCTCCCACCCTGACCAGGCAGGCCCTGGTGTGCCTCTCTCCCCTCCGCACCCCCAGAGCCCATCTACCCTCACCCCCTAAGCTGCCTATCCACCGTCTCCCCTGCTTGCAACCCTCCATGGCTCCCTCATGCCTTCAGGATCTGGCCTACCTTCCCTCCCACCCACACCCTGGCATTCCCCTCTCTGCACAGACACAACCTCCCTGAAAGAGAGAACCTCCAGGCCTTGGCCACCCCTGCTGGAAGCACCCTCACTACCCAGAGTTTCTGTCAAATTCGAGTCCTTCAAAGTCCAGAATCACCACTGCCAGGAAGCCTCCCCTGACTCCCCAACAAAGCCGGATGGTGGCGTGCAGCCTGCGTAGTGGCCCTGGCCGGGTGCTCAGAAGAGCCCGGCACTGGGTTTGAGGCTCTGCCGTTGCCATCTCGAATGCTTGACAATTTTTTAACAAGGGACCCTGCCTTTTCCTTCTGCAAACGCCGGGAAGTTCCAGTCCTGTGCTGCAGAGTCGGGGCCCCTCTTGCTCCGGCAGTATCCTGGTGCCCAGTGCCCATGCCTGTCTCCCCACCGGGCCTCATCAGCAAGAGCAGAGGAAGGAGGACTGGCCACTAACCCAGCCCCCACTGAGCATGCAGTTCTCATGACAACCCCACGAAGCAGGCAGTGCCCATTCCAAGTCCAGAAGTGCTCACCCAGGGGAAACCACACGGCTGGACGGCCGGACGTAGGATGGATGTCCCAGAGTGTGCACAGAAGTGCCGGGGCCCGGGCCCTCCGCGCTCCCACTGCATCCTCACCAATGCAAAAGCTGGGGCGGGCGCTCACCGGTCTTAAGCTTCTCCAACTGTCCCCGAAAGTCCTGGAAGCGGCCCTCGAGGGTCTTGGCCTCCGCATGCACCTCGTCCACGCGCTGCTGCAGGGCGGCTCGCTGCTGCGCTTGCCGCGAGCGCCGGCTCCCCTCGCTGCTCTGCGCCCTGTCCTTGGCCTCCTGCACCTGCGGCGGCGTGACCGACACCAGCGTGGCTCGCCTCAGGAGGAGCCTGACGCGGGGAGGCGGGGAGGCGCCCGGACAGGGCTGGGGGGATGCGGGTCTCACTCACCCCCCTGGTCTCCTCCCGCAGGCGCTCCAGCCCCGAGTTCTGCTCGTTGACGAAGTTGAACTCCGCGAAGTTGCGGTCCTCCACTGCGGGGAGCCGGGAAGAGCGGGGCGGAGAGAGACGGAGACACAGAGAAACGGACGGACACACGGGAGGCCAGAGAAACAGATGGACACACAGGGGGCCAGAGAAACAGATGCTGAGAAGGACAACGAAGAAACAGAGACAGCGAGGGCGGGACGCAGGCAAAGACACGGAGAGACAGGGCGGGCCCGGGTGAGCGCAGGAGGTGCGACAGAAAGTCACAGAGGGGCCCAGAAATACCGAGAGGGCCCGAGACGCGGGGAAGTGGGGGAGAGAGAGCCGAGGGCCCCGGAGACGCCGCGACGGGCTCAGGGCGGGAGAAGCACGGAGGTGGGGGTGCGCGGCAGGCTCGGGCAACGGGGTGGGGGAGGCGGGGGCCGGGCACACGAGCCGAATGGGACAGAAACAAAAAGACGGGGAGACAGGCACTTGGAGAGGACAGAGATGCCGACCAGAGGGAGACAAACACGGAAGGACGGGGACAGGAGGCCCGAGACGGGCGGGACGGACGTGGGGTCCGCGGGAGACGGGCCGACGTAAGGGGCTCCCCGGGCGAGGGCCGCCCTGGGCGACGGAGGGGCGCACGGAGCACGGCAGGCACGGATTCGCGATGGGGCGCCCCGCCGGGCGCCCACCTCTCCGCCCCCGCCAGGTGCTCACGCTCCAGGTACTTCTCCACCATCAGGCCGGGGTCGCTCTCCCCGGTCCGCCGGGACAGTTTGATCAGGGCGTCCTCGTCGCGCGGCAGCAGCTCCTCTTGCGAGGTCTTCCGGAGGCCCCGGGCCGCCTCCCGGGCTGGGGAAGCGGGAGCAGAGGGCCCGGCGTCCAGGGCTGCGGCGGCCGCGGGGCCGGCTGGGGAGCAGCAGAGGCCGCGGCGCCCCGGCAGCGCGGACCCCACCCGCTCCGGCCCCGCGGGCGCCCGGCCTCACCCCGCTTCTCGCGCTTCTCCACGACGGCGGGGTCGAGCTGCCGGTGGTCCTTGCGCTCGAGGAAGCGGTGCAGCTGGTCCAGGTGCGCGATCTGCCGCTGCAGGAGCTGCACCTCGGTCCGCTGCTGGGCCGCCTCCTGCTCCGCCCTTTCCCGCAGCAGGCCCGTCTTGCTCTTTGCCTCCTCCCTAGGGGAAGGCGAGGGTAGCCCGGGTCAGGGAGACTGGAGGGCTGGGGACAGCCTGGAGCCCCGGGATGGGCGGGGGCAGCCTGAGGTTGGGGACTGTGTGGAGCAGGGCAGCCAGGATCCAGGGAAGGGGCAGAATCTGGCTGACGTTATCCTGACGTCTCAAAAGGCAGAAAGCTTTCTAGGATCCTAGAGGTGGGTCAGGATGGGGCTGTGGGGTAGAGTCTGGGCCTTGACAGGTGCCAGGCCATGGGAGGGGGCACCGCTGCAGGGCACGCCAGGGGCATCCCCGAGGCCTGGGCATTGCTATGTGAGCCGTGGGAGAGGAGGTAACCTGGCCGGGGGAGAGATTATTCGCAGGCTGGGAAGCATAGGCACAGGAGATCTGGGTCATTTTGCCGGAGTTTAGGTCTGTGTGATTGCAAATGTAAGGGGCTCAGACCCTCCAGGGCCTTCTGTTGGCCAAGTGGGTGACATCACCAGTACTTGAGCACATGCCCTGTTAAGATACTGGAGACACCCCAGAGGCCTTGTTCACTGACTCTCCCCTAGCCTGCTCCTCTGAAAATGTAGCTTTTGAGCTTTTAAACATAGAGCGGTCAACTGTAAATTGAGAGTGCCCCAAGTCTACTTCATGGGTCGTGGGTTCAAAGGTCAGAGGGTCATTAGGTTGGGAGAGCAGCAGGCCAGTCCCCGTCCAGGGGTCATGCTGGTCCCCACCTCCACACCTCTGCCACCCTTGGTGGCACCAGCTTCTTGCTCTGCTCTAATTCCTTTCAGGTCTAGTTTACTCAGCTCAGTCCTCCTGGTTGGAAAGCCTCCCCCGCCCACACCAGCCCTCAGTGACCCTTCTAGCCTCGGGTGGCAGCCCCTGCAGGAATCATGACTCAGTTCTTTCTGTGCCTTGGGCTCCATGCCAACCAAGGGACAAGGAAGAGGGAACCCAGCTTCCTGGAAGCCTGGCCCTGCGGGGCTTGAGGTAGATACCGTTATTGTTGCTACGTCACAGTGGAAGAAATGGAGGCTCAGAGAAGGGAAGTGACCTGCCCCAGGGCACCCAGCAAGGCAGCCCTGGAGACACTGGCTGGCCCGACAGGAAGTGTGAGTGATGATACCTGCCCACACCTTCCAGCAGAAACCACCTGTCCTTGCTCCCTGTGGGTGGCCCGTGTGGTCGGCTGGAGGAGAGCTGGCAGAGGCCAGATACTGCCCAGGCACAGAGAGGCCAGCAGGCCATCACCTGGGCACTTGGCAGAAAAGACGAGCCAGGCCAGATTCTCTCCATCCGAAATCGAATTGGGAAATGCTTAGACCAGGCAACAAGCTGAAGACAGAAGGATGTATAGGGAGAAGCCACCGAAGGTCATGTTTTGAAGATCAGGTTATAAAGAAGCCCAAGCTATGCGTGAGCAGAAGCCATGAGGTACAGTCAAGGCTCTGAAGGCATCGTGGTGAACCAAAGGTAAGAAATTTACAGAATCTGCCAGAAACAGGAATGAGGCACCAACACAGTCTACCACGTGCGTGAACCTCGCGTGACACAGAGAGAGAAGCCAGACACGAAAAGTCACGTATTGTATGGTTCCACTTAATGAAATGTCTGCAGTAGGTAAATCCATAGGGATAGGGAGGAAGCCAGTGGTTCCCAGGGGCCTGGGGAAGAGGGGAAACGAGAGTGACTGCTTAGTGGGTACAGGTGACCCAAGTGTTGGGATCTAGACGGAAGTGTTGCTGGCACAACATGAATGTCCAAAATGCCACGGAATCATATGCTTTAACATGGTAAATTTTGTTCTGTGCATCTTAACCCAAAACAATAAAACCACAGAAGCTGTAAGGTGGATTTGGCTGTAACTGATGTCATGAGGAATCACAGTCTATGAGTAAACAGAAGTTACGAGGTAGAAATAAGCTACTGAATGGAGCATATGAAGCCATCTGGAGCAAGAGGACAGGGCTGGAGCTCCAGGAGAAGCAGTGAGGGAGGAAGAGTGAGCATGGAGCCCACGAGAGCCCCAGAGATGGAGAGCAGCCAGTGGGCAGAGCAGCCTGGGCTTCTAGATTCCAGAGCACATGGGTGCTTCTCAATGAGGCCCAGGAAGAGGCCTACATCCTGGTCTCGCATGTAGGTCTTGACCCCCAGGAGGTCGTTGATGGTGGTGGTGTCGCCCTGCACCCTGATGAAGAGCCGCTGGATATCTGGGGTCAGAGGGCACAGGCTGTCCCAGATCCGCAGCCCGCTGAGTACCAGCCCTCTCCTCCCCTCTGGTCCTGCTTCTCGCCCTACAGAGACAGCAAATGAGGCTGGAAGGGGGGAAAGGGGGCTGCCGGGGCTCAGCCCAGTGCAGAAGGCCGGGAGGCAGGGAGGCCGAGGAGAGGCTGGAAAAGGCACCTCCACGAGGCTCTGTTACAGACATCCAAATGCCATTCCGCCCGATCGCCCCCAGAAACACTCATGGGCCTGCCCCGTGGAGCAGTCCAAGGAAATTCACAGCTGCATCAAGGAGGCTTGGGGTGTTTTTCTTATCGGACCGCAGTTGCACACAACTGGGTTAATCACTGCCTTTGGTTGGCCCGCGGGTCGCGGTCATGACACACTCCCACAGAAGGCCCCTGCGTACCCCACTTGCATTTAGTCAACTGATTATCATTAACAAAGTGAAAAGACACCATGACCTTGATAAAAATCTGCCCCCAGGCCTCACTGGCCTCACCGCAGAGCTCCAGACTCATACATACACTGCCCTCCCACCCTGAGCTCAGGCCACCCCAAACCCACTTCTCCCAGGCTCCCACCCTGACCAGGCAGGCCCTGGTGTGCCTCTCTCCCCTCCGCACCCCCAGAGCCCATCTACCCTCACCCCCTAAGCTGCCTATCCACCGTCTCCCCTGCTTGCAACCCTCCATGGCTCCCTCATGCCTTCAGGATCTGGCCTACCTTCCCTCCCACCCACACCCTGGCATTCCCCTCTCTGCACAGACACAACCTCCCTGAAAGAGAGAACCTCCAGGCCTTGGCCACCCCTGCTGGAAGCACCCTCACTACCCAGAGTTTCTGTCAAATTCGAGTCCTTCAAAGTCCAGAATCACCACTGCCAGGAAGCCTCCCCTGACTCCCCAACAAAGCCGGATGGTGGCGTGCAGCCTGCGTAGTGGCCCTGGCCGGGTGCTCAGAAGAGCCCGGCACTGGGTTTGAGGCTCTGCCGTTGCCATCTCGAATGCTTGACAATTTTTTAACAAGGGACCCTGCCTTTTCCTTCTGCAAACGCCGGGAAGTTCCAGTCCTGTGCTGCAGAGTCGGGGCCCCTCTTGCTCCGGCAGTATCCTGGTGCCCAGTGCCCATGCCTGTCTCCCCACCGGGCCTCATCAGCAAGAGCAGAGGAAGGAGGACTGGCCACTAACCCAGCCCCCACTGAGCATGCAGTTCTCATGACAACCCCACGAAGCAGGCAGTGCCCATTCCAAGTCCAGAAGTGCTCACCCAGGGGAAACCACACGGCTGGACGGCCGGACGTAGGATGGATGTCCCAGAGTGTGCACAGAAGTGCCGGGGCCCGGGCCCTCCGCGCTCCCACTGCATCCTCACCAATGCAAAAGCTGGGGCGGGCGCTCACCGGTCTTAAGCTTCTCCAACTGTCCCCGAAAGTCCTGGAAGCGGCCCTCGAGGGTCTTGGCCTCCGCATGCACCTCGTCCACGCGCTGCTGCAGGGCGGCTCGCTGCTGCGCTTGCCGCGAGCGCCGGCTCCCCTCGCTGCTCTGCGCCCTGTCCTTGGCCTCCTGCACCTGCGGCGGCGTGACCGACACCAGCGTGGCTCGCCTCAGGAGGAGCCTGACGCGGGGAGGCGGGGAGGCGCCCGGACAGGGCTGGGGGGATGCGGGTCTCACTCACCCCCCTGGTCTCCTCCCGCAGGCGCTCCAGCCCCGAGTTCTGCTCGTTGACGAAGTTGAACTCCGCGAAGTTGCGGTCCTCCACTGCGGGGAGCCGGGAAGAGCGGGGCGGAGAGAGACGGAGACACAGAGAAACGGACGGACACACGGGAGGCCAGAGAAACAGATGGACACACAGGGGGCCAGAGAAACAGATGCTGAGAAGGACAACGAAGAAACAGAGACAGCGAGGGCGGGACGCAGGCAAAGACACGGAGAGACAGGGCGGGCCCGGGTGAGCGCAGGAGGTGCGACAGAAAGTCACAGAGGGGCCCAGAAATACCGAGAGGGCCCGAGACGCGGGGAAGTGGGGGAGAGAGAGCCGAGGGCCCCGGAGACGCCGCGACGGGCTCAGGGCGGGAGAAGCACGGAGGTGGGGGTGCGCGGCAGGCTCGGGCAACGGGGTGGGGGAGGCGGGGGCCGGGCACACGAGCCGAATGGGACAGAAACAAAAAGACGGGGAGACAGGCACTTGGAGAGGACAGAGATGCCGACCAGAGGGAGACAAACACGGAAGGACGGGGACAGGAGGCCCGAGACGGGCGGGACGGACGTGGGGTCCGCGGGAGACGGGCCGACGTAAGGGGCTCCCCGGGCGAGGGCCGCCCTGGGCGACGGAGGGGCGCACGGAGCACGGCAGGCACGGATTCGCGATGGGGCGCCCCGCCGGGCGCCCACCTCTCCGCCCCCGCCAGGTGCTCACGCTCCAGGTACTTCTCCACCATCAGGCCGGGGTCGCTCTCCCCGGTCCGCCGGGACAGTTTGATCAGGGCGTCCTCGTCGCGCGGCAGCAGCTCCTCTTGCGAGGTCTTCCGGAGGCCCCGGGCCGCCTCCCGGGCTGGGGAAGCGGGAGCAGAGGGCCCGGCGTCCAGGGCTGCGGCGGCCGCGGGGCCGGCTGGGGAGCAGCAGAGGCCGCGGCGCCCCGGCAGCGCGGACCCCACCCGCTCCGGCCCCGCGGGCGCCCGGCCTCACCCCGCTTCTCGCGCTTCTCCACGACGGCGGGGTCGAGCTGCCGGTGGTCCTTGCGCTCGAGGAAGCGGTGCAGCTGGTCCAGGTGCGCGATCTGCCGCTGCAGGAGCTGCACCTCGGTCCGCTGCTGGGCCGCCTCCTGCTCCGCCCTTTCCCGCAGCAGGCCCGTCTTGCTCTTTGCCTCCTCCCTAGGGGAAGGCGAGGGTAGCCCGGGTCAGGGAGACTGGAGGGCTGGGGACAGCCTGGAGCCCCGGGATGGGCGGGGGCAGCCTGAGGTTGGGGACTGTGTGGAGCAGGGCAGCCAGGATCCAGGGAAGGGGCAGAATCTGGCTGACGTTATCCTGACGTCTCAAAAGGCAGAAAGCTTTCTAGGATCCTAGAGGTGGGTCAGGATGGGGCTGTGGGGTAGAGTCTGGGCCTTGACAGGTGCCAGGCCATGGGAGGGGGCACCGCTGCAGGGCACGCCAGGGGCATCCCCGAGGCCTGGGCATTGCTATGTGAGCCGTGGGAGAGGAGGTAACCTGGCCGGGGGAGAGATTATTCGCAGGCTGGGAAGCATAGGCACAGGAGATCTGGGTCATTTTGCCGGAGTTTAGGTCTGTGTGATTGCAAATGTAAGGGGCTCAGACCCTCCAGGGCCTTCTGTTGGCCAAGTGGGTGACATCACCAGTACTTGAGCACATGCCCTGTTAAGATACTGGAGACACCCCAGAGGCCTTGTTCACTGACTCTCCCCTAGCCTGCTCCTCTGAAAATGTAGCTTTTGAGCTTTTAAACATAGAGCGGTCAACTGTAAATTGAGAGTGCCCCAAGTCTACTTCATGGGTCGTGGGTTCAAAGGTCAGAGGGTCATTAGGTTGGGAGAGCAGCAGGCCAGTCCCCGTCCAGGGGTCATGCTGGTCCCCACCTCCACACCTCTGCCACCCTTGGTGGCACCAGCTTCTTGCTCTGCTCTAATTCCTTTCAGGTCTAGTTTACTCAGCTCAGTCCTCCTGGTTGGAAAGCCTCCCCCGCCCACACCAGCCCTCAGTGACCCTTCTAGCCTCGGGTGGCAGCCCCTGCAGGAATCATGACTCAGTTCTTTCTGTGCCTTGGGCTCCATGCCAACCAAGGGACAAGGAAGAGGGAACCCAGCTTCCTGGAAGCCTGGCCCTGCGGGGCTTGAGGTAGATACCGTTATTGTTGCTACGTCACAGTGGAAGAAATGGAGGCTCAGAGAAGGGAAGTGACCTGCCCCAGGGCACCCAGCAAGGCAGCCCTGGAGACACTGGCTGGCCCGACAGGAAGTGTGAGTGATGATACCTGCCCACACCTTCCAGCAGAAACCACCTGTCCTTGCTCCCTGTGGGTGGCCCGTGTGGTCGGCTGGAGGAGAGCTGGCAGAGGCCAGATACTGCCCAGGCACAGAGAGGCCAGCAGGCCATCACCTGGGCACTTGGCAGAAAAGACGAGCCAGGCCAGATTCTCTCCATCCGAAATCGAATTGGGAAATGCTTAGACCAGGCAACAAGCTGAAGACAGAAGGATGTATAGGGAGAAGCCACCGAAGGTCATGTTTTGAAGATCAGGTTATAAAGAAGCCCAAGCTATGCGTGAGCAGAAGCCATGAGGTACAGTCAAGGCTCTGAAGGCATCGTGGTGAACCAAAGGTAAGAAATTTACAGAATCTGCCAGAAACAGGAATGAGGCACCAACACAGTCTACCACGTGCGTGAACCTCGCGTGACACAGAGAGAGAAGCCAGACACGAAAAGTCACGTATTGTATGGTTCCACTTAATGAAATGTCTGCAGTAGGTAAATCCATAGGGATAGGGAGGAAGCCAGTGGTTCCCAGGGGCCTGGGGAAGAGGGGAAACGAGAGTGACTGCTTAGTGGGCACAGGTGACCCAAGTGTTGGGATCTAGACGGAAGTGTTGCTGGCACAACATGAATGTCCAAAATGCCACGGAATCATATGCTTTAACATGGTAAATTTTGTTCTGTGCATCTTAACCCAAAACAATAAAACCACAGAAGCTGTAAGGTGGATTTGGCTGTAACTGATGTCATGAGGAATCACAGTCTATGAGTAAACAGAAGTTACGAGGTAGAAATAAGCTACTGAATGGAGCATATGAAGCCATCTGGAGCAAGAGGACAGGGCTGGAGCTCCAGGAGAAGCAGTGAGGGAGGAAGAGTGAGCATGGAGCCCACGAGAGCCCCAGAGATGGAGAGCAGCCAGTGGGCAGAGCAGCCTGGGCTTCTAGATTCCAGAGCACATGGGGCTTTATCTGAAGGTGGCCTGAATCTCTCTGTCCCTTTCAGCCGGTACTGATAAATTATCACATCACCCACAGGCAGAGATGCTTCCTAGGTTCCAGGGCCCCTGCCACTTGCACTGGTGTACCTCCTCACCTAATTCTCTCTACGAAGCCCCATGCGCCACATGCCATTAGCAGACTGGGGCCAAAGAGGTTCATGCCTACGCCCAAGGAGGGGGCCTGGCCCAAGGGACAGGGACACCAGTGGAGGAGGAAGACAAAGGGGTACCTCATGAAAACAAAATGTAGGATCTTCCCATCCATCTAGAATTCTGAGCCTTCCCACCACTGCCTTACGAAAAGGTGCACTCCGCCCCCACCCTGGAGGCCTCCAGAGCCCTACCTGACAGCGAAGGCAGAGGTGGAGGAGACCATGAGGCCGCCGACTGTGTGCCGCAGCTGGTGGAGCTCCTGCGAGAGAACAAAACAGAGGCCGCTTTTCAAGGCCTCGTTGCCCCAGAGCTCATTCCCCGCGTCCCCCAGCTGTGCCCTCCAAGCCGCAGGAGAGGGATTTTAAAGAGGTAGGAGGTAAACGGAAAGCCAAACTTCTGAGCGGGAACCTGGCCCAAGGGCCTTTTCCCGATGAACTGCTCCACCCAGAACATTCCTAAAGGCCCCGACCCGATTTTGAGGTCGGGCTCAGAAATCTGTGTGAGTTTCCTAATTGCGACCACACTAACTTGTTTTCTAGTTTCACAGAAATGTCTTTGTAGTATTACCTACTGGTAAAAAGGGTTCCTTCAGGAGAACAAAGGGAGGAAATTATATGTACATTTTATACATACATAGAATGTGTATATTTATACTAATGTATATACAATATACAAATACATAAATACACATATACATATAAACATATATGTATAATACACATATACATACATGCATACGTGTACAGGCATATGTAAACACATGTGTCTGCACATGCACACACATTTAATTTTGCCAAAGGAAGCCAAGAGGGATAACCAGGAACCACAGGGGCTGGGTGGGAATGAAGGGGATGGTGATGGTGCTCTGGGGCACTTTGAATAGCTGTGGTCTGGGAACCTTGTTAATGGCTTACATGCTCATAAAGAAAATGAAATCAACAATGATAGGGGAACAAACTAGATGGAATACAAACAGAAGCAAATGAACCAAACTGTATTTCAAACAAAGAACATAACCACCCAGAAGACACACACAAAAACTAACTAATCCAAATGATTTCTGAATACAATGATTTGGATGTATAGATAGACTGACTGCTCCCCATGCCCTCAGAAGACAAAACAATGGCACACGCGTCTTGAACTCTGTTTCTTAGGTTCGGGGGGCTGGAGGGACAGCTGTAGCAATTCTGACCCTCTTTTGTGCACACTATGGGATTAAGTAAGTGAGCTTGTGTGTGGATGCGGTTGGGAGCCAGCGTTCCCACTGTGGGAGAAGAGAGACAGAAAGGTGAAAACTGGAGAATGTTCAGAAATAACCCATTGATGCTAGACGGGAATTAGAGGCACCAATATGAACTCAGGGCTTTAAAATATGTGTGTGCGCTTCCTAGCTCTCTCCAGAGAAAAGGCCTCAAGGCAAAGACATGCCACTAGCGACAAGGACTCTTTGAGCCTGTATCTTTGTTTCTCGACACCTATTTCCCACTAGAAAGAACTGGGACTCCTTGGAGAAATGGCTCGCCCCAGGCCTGGGGCAGACGGCGCACAAAATAGCCTGGACTGTCTTTCTGTGCCAGAAATTATGGAAGTGCTCAAAAAAAAAAAAAAACAAGAGAGCATATCAAATGGACACAGAAGCCAGTTTGAAGGGGGCTCCTACTCACCGAGTCCGGGACAATTTGAACATCATCCTAAATCCTGACGGCTATGGATTACTACCCATAAAATAAAGTAAGAATACACAAATGCTTACTGATAACACAAAAACACACAGAGAAGCTCTTCCTTAAATAGACTGCCATCTTATAAGTGTAGAAGAAATGATAAGAGTTAGAAAAAAATTACCATTTGGCAGCCAGTACAGTAGTAATTATTCAGGCACGAATCAGTAATGGATTTTAAAACAATTGAATGAAAATGTGCCAGGGAACAGGATATGTCCATAGTCGACAAACAGGGAAACGCTGGATTGCAGAAACCCGGCTAAGCAGGTGATCCAAGCCAACATCTCTAGGTAGGGGACAAACCCACATCACGTGCCTCCCGATACAATGCACACAAAGGACACAGTATCACCTCTGGCACGTCCCACAAAAATGCTCCTGAATCTAATCACAAAGAAAGGCCAGATAAACCCATCTTGAAAGACCTCGTCCAACATGACTGGCCTGGGTGCCTCCAGAATGTCAAAGCCGCGAAGATGAAGAAGGGAGAGGGACTGTCCAGACGCATGGGGCCAGAACAGCCACACACTAACAAGGGCGCCTGGCTGGTGCCTGCAGCAGGAAAATCAAACTCGCTTGTTCAAAGGGTGAAATTGGGACAGTCAGTGAACTTTAAATATGGACTGTTCAGAATGGCAGCAACGTTAGAGATCCTGCCTTTAGATCTGGATAGATCTGGATAATTGCATTATGTCTATGTAAGAAAATGTTCTTGGAAAATACACACCGAAGTTCTTAGAAGCTCATGTCTGCAACATATTCTCAAATAGTTCAGCAATTGTAATAGTAAATTATTTTCAGTAAAATTAGTAATTATAAAGGGGAAATATGGAAAACAATCCATCGTGGTGAAGGATATATAGTTCTTTGTACTATTCTTGCAGGGAAGGGAGGGTTGAGAGAGGAAGGGAGCCTTCCTCAAAGGACTTCAAAGGGTACAGAGGTACCCACAGAATGTAAATGGTCTTGCTTGCTCATTGATCGCCCTGGGTGACGATATTCAAAATGACATCTCTGCTTTCTGCAAGAATGAATGAGGCTGCTGTCTTCATTAGAGGTGTCCTGGAATATTTTCCAGGTCTCCATTCCCTCTAGACGAAGGTGAACCTGTGGCTCCGGTTACATACTTGAGGCCCAAGTGTAGGAGTCAGCAAGGTGTTACCTGCCCTCCACACCGTTGGTGCCACGGGGTCCTGGACCTCAGGGCCACTGACCTTCTGAAACTTGCGATCCACATTCAGATAGCAGTTCCGCTCGATCCTCAGGAGATCCAGCTCCTCCCGCAGGGCAGCATTCTGCGCCAACTGGACATCAAAGCGACAGGTGACCTGGGAGAGTGGGGGGGCGGGGACGTGAGAGGATGCAGTGTCTGGCTGAGGCCAAGGGGACATTTGTCAGATATGGGACCCATTCCCAATCTGGGGACCCTGAGAGCACTGCCCAGCCCCCCGCCAAGGACCCAGGCATCAGTCTCCTTTCCTTGGGGACCCTCCATCCCTCCGGGATCTCGTCTCCTGAACCCTCAGTGGGTCCAGTGTTTCAGGCCTTCCCACCTCCAGGACCTGGGCCCACCATTTCCAGAACTTGGTCCCATGCTCAGTTCTTCCCCCATAGCCAGAGTCAGGCTGTAGAGCCAGGAGCTGACCCTCACCCTGTCCAACTGGTCTTCTAGGATCTTGAGCCTTCTCCGGACCTTAACCTTCTGGTCCAGGATGAATCCCGGGGTCGTGGCATCCTTGCCGTGGGCAGAGATCCGGGTATCCCACTCCTGGATCTGAAGAAAAAGGATGGTACCTATTTGTTGGCCAAATGTGGGACAGACTGAGAGATCAAGGGAGAGGAGTGGGAGAGCGAGTGGCTGAGTGTGGCTGACATTTGCTGGCCTTGTGGCCCCAGCCATCTGGTCTACCCTTCTCCTGCCGACAACACCCAACCTTCTGTGTGCTTCTGTCTTCCAGCCACAACCAGCTGTCCTGCCAGCCACAGGAGTCAGGACGGGACCATCAACAATGACTGGCCTAGAGGTGGGCATGTGACCCAATCCTTTACTTGGGGTATTCTGTCTCCCCAACTAAATCAGATGCTCCGTGAGTGTGGATTTCTGTCTTTTTTTGTGCCTGACACAGGGCAGGTGTTCAACAAAACATACATACTAAATGAATCAATGAACTGCTTAAGAATGTGTTTCCCTGTGCACTGCTTTGCGTTGGATTGTGTCTCCCCCATACTCAGGCTGTAAGTGCTAATCCCCAGGCCCTCAGAAGGCGACCTTATTTGGAGACAGGGTCTTTACAGAGGTGATCAAGTTAAAACGAAGTCATCATGGCGGATCCTAATCCAGTAGGACTGGTGTCTTTATAAAACGGGGAATGTGCCCACTCGCGCAGACAAGGGGAACGCCTGGGGAAGACGGAGGCAGAGTTGAGCGTGATGCTTTTATGCAGTAAGGAACACCAAAGAGCGCCAGCAACCCACCAGAAGCTGGGGGGGAGGTGGGGAACAGCCCTCAGAAGGAGCCAGCCCTGCGGACACCTCGCCTCCAGGACCGTGGGACCATAAACCTCTGCCCTGCAGGCCACCCAGTTGGTGGTCCTTTGAAAGTTAACACGTGCACGAGGGCACCCTAGAGCATTGCAGCGAAGTCAAAGGGGGGACCACGGGGATGTGTGGGGTTCTGAGGGAGGCACGCTGACATCGGTCAGACACCTCATGTACTACAAGCTCAAGGTAGTTCACGGGTTCAACACAAGATGGCGCTACATCCCTTCCGATGATGTTACATCTTTGTGAAACTGAGTTTCTGGCAGCTGCTGTGATTAAAAATCAAATACCCAAAAATGTTACCATTGGGGGAAGCTGGGCAAAGCATACAAGAGTTCTCTCTGTTATTTCTTCCGCTGCATGTGAATCTACAATTATCCCAGTAAAATTTTCCATCAAAAAAAGCCAAGCACTGCCCAGAAGTCACATGGAATGGGGTGGTGATGCCCAATCTGACTCCAAGATCTGAAAAGGTGCGCAGTGCCCAGGAGGCACAAATGTTCCACGGAGAAATAACTGCGGTTTTAAGAATGAAATACAATTTTCTTTCCATTTATGTATATATATTTTTTCAAATGGTTCCTAGGTTGTCAGGACGCAAACACTTGGGTTGTTTGGTCCAATCTACTTAATAGGCAGAAATGTTAGCAGGGCAATGCTGGCACCCTCCTGGGACAGCCCTTGAGAGCTCAGTGTGACATTTTCAGGAATTATGTAAGTTAAATTCTTGGCGGCTTCAAATTGAACATTATATTAGCTTTCTACTTCTGCATTAAAAATTTCAACACCCATTTATCATCTTGAAGTTTCCCTGGGTCAGGAGTCCTCGCTAGGCCAGATCCTGTGCTCAGGGTCTCCCAGAGCTGAGACCGTGGTGTCTGCCAGGGCGGTGGTCTCAGCTGGGGCTCATCCTGTGGCTGCTGGCAGAATTCAGCTCCTTGCGGCTGTAGGACTGAGGCCCTCAGCTCCTAGGAACCCCTGGCGGCTCCCCAGCCACACCATGGCAGCTTCCCTCTTTGAAGCCAGCTGGACCTCTCTCCTGTCTACTAACATGCAGTTTGACACAGCAAACTAATCCAGGGAGCCACACTGCATCAAATGTGCTATATTGCGGTGGCTAGAAACAAGTCACAGGTTCTGTTCCCCACTGAAGAGGGGAGGATAACAGCAGTGACTCACTGAGTCACCTTAGGGTATGTCCACCACAGCCCCAAGGAGAGACACAGTGTCCCCACTCTTCAAAAGTAGAACATGCCTATGAAACCTTTTGGAAGCCAAAATGGCAGAAAGTGGAGAAGCAGTTACCATTAATTTATATGGAAAATTTTTTTAGCCTATTCGGGCCCAAAAACCTCTCTTAGGCTCTTCTGATACCTTAGGACATGTCTTCCTAGCAGATGCAGCAAATAAGTGGAGGTAAAGCACGCTGCCCACAGACATGGCTCAGAGCTCTGGCGGCCTGACGCTGAGAGGTGGTACCTGGGAAGGGGCTGGGCAGGCCCCTCTCACTGCTCTGCTGGGGTGCCATCGCTGCCCAACAAACGATGAACATTATATTCACCTTCCGCCTTTTTTCGTAAAGCAGAAATCCTCTTTGGATCTTTCAGTTAGTGAAAACAGGTACAAATGCAGGTGTTTTGTGCAAGCAAAGTAGGGGAATGCAAACATTTCAAAAGCGGGGGAATTCCTGTATTTATGTTATGAAAATCAGCAGGCGCTACACATCAGGGCTCTTTGCCACTGTCGGTTTCCCAGCTCACCTATGTTAGAAACTTCTTTGGAGCTTCAAAAAATGACAAAGAAATTAAACTAAGGGTTCCAGGAACAAGGAAAGCTTAGGACCCACTTGTTCAAGAAATTCTTCCCAAGGTTAGAAAACCCTCTCCTCCAGTTTTTTAAAGTAGTCAGATTTTGCTTTTCACATTTAGGTCCCTCATCCAACTAGAACTTGTGTTTTTATATGTTGTGAGGTAGGAAATTTTTTGTCAGCTTTGTTGAGGTGTGAGTGACACAGAACAAAATGGCACATACTTAAAAAATATACATGTTGTTGGGTGTATCAATAGCCCATTCTTTTTTACTGGTGAGTAGTATTCCACTGTGTGAGTGTACCACCATTTGTTTTAACCAGTCACCTTTTAGTAGACATTTGGGTTGTTCTATTTTGAGTTTACAAAGAAAGCTGCTTTGATCATTCATGTACAATTCATCACACAGACATGCGCTTTCTTTCCTCTTGGATAAATACCAAGAAGTAGAATGCCTGAATCACAGGGTGGGGGCACATTTAATGTTTTAGAAACTATAAAACTGTTTTCCAAATCAGCTGTGTGACTTGCATTCCCACCAGCAGGAACGAGAGTTCCAGTTCCTCCACATCTTCATCAACACTTGGTGTGGCCAGCCTTCTCAATTTTAGTCACTCAAATAGGCATTTAGAAGTATCTCATGATTTTAATTTGCAGTCCCCCAATGACTGGTACTGTTCAGGATCTGTCATGTGCTTGTTGCCACCTTATATATTCTCTAATGAAGTGTCTGTTCAAGCCTTTTGCCATTTTTTCTACTGGGTCATTTGTGATTTTTGGTGGGTTTTTTTTTTTTTTGGTATTTTGTTTTGTTTTGTTTTGTTTTGTCAGTTTGAGAGTTTTTAATGTATTCTAGATGCAAGTTCTTTATCAGATATATGCTTTGCAAGTGTTTCTGCCCATTGTGGGGTTTGTCTTTTCACTCTCTGAACAGTACCTTTTGAAAAGAAGTGTTTACATTTTATGGACTTCAATTTAGCCATTTGTCCTTTTATGGGTCATGCTTTTGCTGTTATATCTAAGAAATCTTTGTCTAACCCAAGCTCACAAAGATTTTTCCTCTGTTTCTTTCTAGAAGTCTTATAGTTTTAGGTTTCCCATTTAGACATATGATGGTAACATCTTTTCTTTTTCTTTAGTTAAAAAAATTAATGTTACTGTGCACTGAAAAGTGCATAGATCATGTACATACAATTTGTTACCTGTTTTTAAGGGAACATCCTGGAACCACAGCCCAGGTGAAGAGCTAGAATACTGACAGTCTTCCAGATGATCCCCCTTCTTATCACTACCATCTTCCTCATCATAGAGCTCCTGCTATCCCGCCTGTGCTAGTTCCCACTGCCACTGTAACAAAGTACCACAGATTAACTGGCTTACACCAACACAGATTTATTACCTTACACTTCTGGAGGTCAGAAGTCTGAAATCAGTTTCACTGGGTTAAAAATCAAGGTGCCTGGCTGCACTTCCTGGAGGCTTCAGGGGAGGCTCCAGTGTCTAGAGGCCAGATTCCTTGGCTGGTGGCCACTCCAACCTCTGCTTCTGTTATTAATCTCCTCTCTCTGCCATCACATCTTTTCTGGCTCTGACACTCCTGCCTCTTTCTTATAAGATGCTTGTGATTACCCTGGGCCCACCCAGCTCATCTAGAATAATCTCCCCATCTCAAAATCCTTAATCCAATCTGCAGAGTCCCTTTTGCCATGGAAGGTCACATATTCACAAGTTCCAGAGATGAGGATGTGGACATCTCTGGTGGGATGGGGACGGTGGGGGAGTCATCCTTCTGTTTGCCACACTTCCTCAAGTGAAAGCTGCTTCTTTACTTTTCTTTAAGGTTTCATCAACCTGTGCAAATACCCCCTAGAAAAGTTTAGCTTGGCCTAATTCTGAATTTCATGTCAATGAACTAATGCTACCTATGATATTTTATTTCTTGCTTCCTTCAAATGTTTGTGAGATTCATCCTTGTCGCTGTGCGTAATTGTGATTCACTCATTTTTAGTTGCTGTATACTATTTCATTATACAGACACATCATAATTTATTCATTCATTCAGATATTGATGGGCATCTGGGTTGCTTCTGGTTTGCAGCCAGCTAATATGGATAAGGTTTCTTTCAACATTCTTTTACATGAATCCTGGTTCCAGGTTATATACTCAGAAGTGGAGTTGCTGGGTAGGAGGAAGAGCTAACAACAGAGCTAGACCTGTTTTCTATTGGAAGATGACTTTGACTTAACTTTCTTCCAATACTGTTTCCATGGAAACATACTGCATTACAAGTAAATAGGGGAAGCCAGCTGTGTTTCCAGGCAACAATCTTTATTATAAAAATAATCTGATTGGTGAATGACACTGGACTGGAAGGATTCTGCGTGGGATTATAGACCCCAAGGTCCCATGTGATAAAGACTGAATAGACACCTGGTTTCTCTGTGGGGTATTTCTTATAACTATGTTGCTGGTGGAAGCCTAGAAGCTGCCCTCATGAGCTGGCTCCTCTTGAGTAAGAAGCTTCCCTATGCCAGGTGGGCAACACCCACCCATTCATGTAGTATCACCCAGCTGGAGGTGCTAAGAAGTAGCTCAGGGAAGATGACTTTGATGCTGTCATACCAAGATGCTGTTGTTTCCTGTCTCCTCTCCTTCTGCAAAGTTAAGCAAACTTTGTGCCTACTGGATCCTGTGAGTGTGAATGTCAGGTGGAACCCAAGACTGCTTCTGGTGACCATGCCACGTGGATGCCACCCCAGATCACGGGGTATGTCTACCTTCAAATGCAATAAATAATGGGGGAAATACTTTTCAGAATACATTTGACAGTTTATACACCCACCAACATTTTGTAAGGGTTCCTATTGCTCCATCTCTCCCCAACACTTGATATTTATGGAAGCTAATTTTTGAAAATTCAGTGTTTAATGGTATCTCATAGTGATTTTCATTTGCCTTTCTTTGAGTACTAATGAGTGATAAGTAATTACTATATATATTGGACATCTGAATTTTTATTTTGTGATGTGTCAGCTCAAATCCTTTGACAATTTTTTAAAATTGGCTGGCTCTTTTATGATTTGTAGAAGTTCTTTATGTGCTCTCGATACTAGTTGTCAGCTATATGTGATGTGAATGACCTTCCATTCTGTGACTTCCTCTGTACACTCTTTATGGTTCTTTTTAACATAAGTGGTTAACTTTGAAGTCATGGGATGTATCAATCTTTTCCTTTAGAAGTAGAAATTTCTATAACTTATTTAAGAAATCCTTCCCCACTTTCACACATTTAGACCTTTGATCCATCTAGAATGAATTTTGGGGGTACAGTGAGAGGTGAAGGTTTGGTTTCATCTTACAGTTTGGATATCCAATTTTCACAGCATGAATATTAGGATCCTCCATATATCAAGTGTTCTTGAAGTCATATATCAAGTGTTTCCTTTTCTTGAAGTCATATATCAAGTGTTCACACATGCATAGGTCTCTTTTAGGGCTCTCTATTCTGTCCCATTGATCCATTTGATTATCCCTGTATCAATTACAAGAATTTTATGATAAATCTTGATAAGTGATAGAGAAAATGCTTCCACATTGTTCTTCTTTCTTTAAGTCAATCTTAGTCATCCTGTTCATTGCCCTTCCATATAAGCCTTAGAATCTGTCAATTCCTTCCAAAAAAAATCTTTTAGTACTTTGGGATTACATTGAATCTATAAATCAATTCGGAGATCTGACATTTACAACACTAACTCTTCCAGTCCATGAATATGGTATATATCTCTACAGTTATTAAGTTCCTCTTAAATATCCCTCAATAAAAGTTTACCATTTATTCCACAGAGGTCTTGCACACTTTTGTTAGATTTCTTCCTAGGCACTTGTTTTGGCTATTATGAATATGTCTTTTCTCATATTTTCTAAATTACTGCTTATGCAGGGAAATTTTATTAACTTTATATTAAGTTTGTATCTAGCCAAGTGTTAAAATACTTTGTTAATTGCAGTAAGTTAGCATTAGATTCTTTTGGATCTTCTATGTACACAAATATATCATCTATAAATAATGACATTTCGTTTCTTCCTCTCCAATTTTTAATGTTTTTTTTCTTTTCCTTGCCATACTGACCTAGATAGGACCTCTAGTACAACATTAAATAGAAGTGGTGCTAGCTGACAGCCATATATTGTTACTGGTCTCAAAGATGTTTTTTCTCATGTTCATCAAATATGATATATGCTATAGATGTTTTGGAGTTGGCCTTTATCAAATTCAAGAAATTTCCTTTTATTCCTTCCTTACTTTCTAAGAGTTTTTAACATTCATGGACGCTGAATTTTATCAAATACTTTTTTATATCTACACAGACTGGTGCTATGAACTGGGGCAAATTCGAGGACTGTCAGTCATCAGTCTCTGATGTGACAGGTTCAGAATATGAGTGTAATCATTTAGAAACTGTGTTTCTGGGTGCTGGTGAATTCATGTGTCAAGTTACACCAGACACACAAGACCCAAGCCTTCCAAAAATATCAGTCACTAACAGATTGGAAGTTTTAAAAGTTGATTTGTTAAGACATATAATTTGAGAAACCCTATGTCAAACTCTACATTTTTCTTTGCCAGAAAAATGTCTCTTCTGCTCTCTCATTCATAGATGATATTTTCAAAGATATAAAATGCTAAGTAGATGGCTTTCCCCTCTGAACAGTGAATGATAATCTCACTATCTTCTGACTTCCAATGTTTCCTTTGAGAAAGCTGTAGATTTAATTGTGGCTCCCTTGAATGTAATGTCTTATTTTCTGGCTGATTTTATATTCTGAAATCTCCCTATGTTCTGTAAAAGTGTGGATTTTTTATTCCTGTGTTGGACTCAAAGGCATCCTTGAATCTGTGCATTTGTTTTTTCATTGGTTCTGCAAAATTCTCAGATATTACCCTGCACCCATTCTCTTTACATTCTTCTGAAACTCTTATTGGACATATATTGAATCTCCTATATCAGCAATGTCTCTTAACTGCTCTTCTGTATTTCCCATTATTTTGTCTCTCTGTTTTAGACTCTGGATATTTCCTTCTGAACAAACTCTTTCTTCAGCTTTTACTTGGCTCATTAGCTGTCTCTCCAGTGGAATATAAAGTACTTGAGATCAGAGCCCTTGTCTGTTTTGTCTCTGCTGTGTCTGCAACACCTAGACAGGGCCTGGCACTTAGTAGGCACTCAATAAATATTTGCTGAATGAATGTCACCAGATAATGACATCCTTTCTTGACCTTATGGGGAACTTTACAGAGCTCTATTTTAGGAACCCTATCTCCCACTTGACCTACAATTCTCTATAATCAAGTTTGTCAGGACAAAGCAATGCATGGAGTCAAAATAATAAAATCATCCTGCTTGGGCCTGTCTCTGGTGAGTTTCCATGAAAGACAGAGACATACTAACTCGAGCAGCCGGCACACACTGAGCCACAGTACTACCACGAGCCAAAAGTTTGGCATGTGTGAATCAGAATTCAGCTTCCAAAAGGCGGCTTAGAACGATACTGAGAGCTGAACAAACTGGCTGAAAGTCACATGTCATAAAACCTCAAGACCGTGTGGTAGACAGAGTAATGACCCCTCGCCAAGAGGTCCGCATCCTGATCCCTGGAACCTGTGACACATGACCTTAAATGGCAAAAAGGACTTGGCAGATATGATAAAGTAACAGAGTCGGAGTTGAGGAGATTGTTCTGGATGATCTGGGTGCACTCAAGGTAATCACAAAGGTCCTTGTAAGTGAGAAAGCGAGGCAGGAGAGTCAGAATTAGAGAAGAAGAAATGGCAAAAGCAGACATCAGAGTGATGCAGCCCAAGAAAGGTTCAGCGGACTCTTGCTGGCTTAGAAGATAAAGAAAGGAGCCATGGGGCAAGGCATGCAGGTGCATCTATAAGCTGGAAAAGGCCAGGAAATGGTAACTTTCAAAAACTAACTTTCAAACTCCTGTTCACAATCCAACAATGTACAAGAAATCACTTGGCCTAGGCAAGCAAGCTTTTTTTTTTTGGTATCATTAATATACACTTATATGAGCCACACTGTGGTCACTAGATTCCCCCCATCATCAAGTCCCCACCACATACCCATTACAGTCACTGTCCATCAGCATAAGATGCTATAGAGCCACTACTTGTCTTCTCTGTGCTATACTGACTTCCCCGTGCTCCCCCCCTTACATTAGCAAGCAAGTTTTTAAAACAAAGAGGAGAATAGAAAATAGCAGAATGAATCCCATAGAAAAATAGAAGTATTATTTGGTGAAACTTTTGTTTCAGATACACGCTGTGTGTTTATATCCATATGCATCCATGGGTATGTGAACTGTGTCACAAATAGGCATGGTCCTAAAAACTTGAAAGAACGATGGCCTAGAAAAGTCACATTGTTAAACAGCAGGGTCAAATAGCAAGATCTTGAGCAGGTGGGATTAGAAAACTGTCTGGACTCTGCTGCACTACCAACACCCTCTTTTGGCAGGCGAAGAAAGCAGGGCCCGGAGAGGTGAAGCCTTGCCCGTGGGGACACAGCTCTGATGAGGCAGAGCCGAAATTCGAATGCAGGTTTTGCTGACACCAGAAGGCGAACCTTTTCGTCTTAACTGCACCAGCCCCCTTTTTGAATGTGGGATTGAGCCAAGCACTAAACACCCAGATTCCTACTGGAGCCTGAACACAACTCCAACTCTGCAGGTGGATGTGTTCAATGCGCCCGGTTTTCAGATGGGGAACATAAGGTTCTAATCGGTTACGGTACTTGCCTCTGTGCAGGACCCACAGTCTGGTCTCCGAACGCACCTGCTGGTCCAGGGCTCTGGCCTGCTCCTGCAGCTCCCCCACCTTGGCCTGCACCTGGGCCTGGCACTTCAGCAGGTGGCCCATGGTCTGCAGCCTCTCACTGTCCCGCAGCCGCTTGACCTGGCTCTGGGCGACGCGGATCTGGACCTGAAGCTTGTCCCATGCCTCCTCCAGGCGCTGGATCTCCTCACTGTTCAGGCAGGGAGGTGGAGGGGAAGCCGGCAAGGGGCAGAGCTTGGCATCACAAAAGGCTGGACACACTGGGCCTGCCCTCTGCCCTCGGACCCAGGACTCGGCCCCCAGCCCCTTCCACGGCCTGGGCTCACAGTTGCTTGTTGCTGCGCTGGTGGACTCCCTTGCTGTAGGCCCGCCTTTCCCCCTCCATCAGTTTGCATTGATGCTGCAGTCTGCTCAGCTCCCAATCAGCTGAGGGCAGGACCAGGCAAAGACTCAATAGCAACCCAGGCCCCAGGCCCTGCCTCCCAGGACCTAGGAATTCTGGCTCCCTTAGGGTCTCACAAATGTCAGCTGAACTTCAGACCCAGTCTCCAGCGGCCCTCTAGGACTGCATCTCATTCCTGCAAAACTCAGCTTCTTCCTCTCTTCACATCCCCCCGCCCCAGCTGACCTCAGGGTTTCTCCCCTGAACCCACTCCTACCCCAGGTTCGGGCACACAACTGTTTTGCCACTAGAGGGCGCACCAGGAAGGCCATAGTCCTCAAGGACCCTCCCCACAGGCCCTGGATCTTGGGAAAGCTAAGGACAGGTGTCTAGACCCCAGGGAGCGGGTGGAGACAGCATTCTTGCTCCCTCCCTCCCCTTCGGCCCCCACCACCCAGCAGCCCTAAGTCCCAAACCCCCCCTTCCTCTCTGCACCCTAGGCACAGACCTCATCCTCTCCTGCCTGGACCATCACCCTAGCCTCTTTCCCAACCTCCCAGCCTCCCCTCACAGCCACAGAAAGTCTTTTACACCCAATGTGGAACCTGCCCCTCCCCTGCTCACAGACCCCCTGGCTCTCCCAGGACAAGGTCCCAACTCCTTCTTCTGTTGTTCAAGACCCCAAGTGAGCTGCCCCTACCCACCTCTCCAGTCTCATCCCCCAGCTCCCCACCTCCCATGGCCCAGTGGTTCTCTCAATCAGGAGTGATTCTGCCCACCATGGGCATCTGGCAATGTCTGGAAACATTTTTGATTCTCACAATTTAGGGGTGGAGGGAGGGTGCTACTGGCATGTAGGGGCAGCGCCCAGGGATGCTGCTATACGTCCTATAACTCACAGGGCAGCCCCTACAACAGAGGATTGTCTGACCCCAAGCATCAACAGTGCGGAGGTGGAGAAGCCCTGCTCTGGCCACATGCTGGTCTCTCTGCTGAAACCCTCTTCCCTTACTTTGCCCCCTGGTAATTCCTGGGAGGAGTTCTGGGCCCCACTCAAACTTTTCCTGCTGCAGGAAGTCTTCCCAGCTTGCCCCACTCCTCAGGTTTGGCCCACCCATATATGCCCGGCTGTACCTTCATTCAGGGCAAGTGTGGTCCCTGCTAGAGGACTCTCTGGAAGGCCTCCCTGTCCCCAGGGCCCTGCAGCATAGGACCTGGCACTTGGAGAAACTGAGAAGAATGAGTGAATTAAGCTAAAACATACGAATTACCCATTCTTTCCAGGAAGACCTCGCTTCCGTCCTCGGAGCGGGTTCTTCTTGCAGAAAGTCCCAAAGGCATCTTGTCCAAAGAAAGTGGAGCTCTTGTAGGGGCGACAGAACCCCTTCAGACAGCAGGAGAGAGCCTGGAGTAGGGTGGGACAAACCGCGAGGGACTAGAAACTGTAAGAGGGTGACCCCAGGACCGGCTCTGGCTTCTCTTTTAGTCTCAAGTCCTCCAATGTGTTGGAGGGGGACACCTCTCTCCCCACACGCCCCCACCCCCACCCCTCACCTCTCACATTCTCTATCTTGCGTCTGTACTCTGACTGGCACCGGGCACATGTCCTCTAGGCTCTCGGAATCTCCGAGGCGAGGCTGTCGGGGAAGGCGGGTCACAGAGGAGGGACGAACCCCCAGCCGCGTGTAGGGAGCGAGACCCGGTCCCTACCTGCTGGAGTGCCTGACCTGTCCGTGGTGGGTGCGCCAAGCTCAACTGTTGTAGTCTGGTTACTGGGGAGATAAGGGGCCAATAAGGCCTGAGGACAGCGGCCTGGGAGGGGCCGAGGCGGTGGGGAAAAGGGGGAGGAGGGGCCCGCGAGGCTGCGAGTAGACCTGCGGGGATCGTCGGGACTGTGAGCCAACGGGCTGGAAGCCCTGCGAGGGGCGCAGCAGGGCACCTGTAAAGGGCGGGGCTACGGGCCTTGCAGGGGGTGGGGCTACGGGACTGACGAGGGGAGGGACACGGGTACCTGTAAAGGGCGGGGCTTAGGGGCCCAGGAGGGGCGTGGCTGTAAGAATCCTTGAGGGGTCCCGTGGGAGGGCGCTGGAAGGAGGTCGGGGTGGTTTGCATGAGGAGCAAGAGACTGAGTCTCAAGGTGGTCACGGGCTGGTGAGGGTTGGGATGTGTGTTCCGGGAGGGAGAGGCAGGAGCTGAAAGAGCCTGTGGAGGCAGGGCAGGGAGGGAAACGTCTGGAAGGCTTTGGAGCTAGGCCGAGGTTCCTCTGGACAGGACCCGGGAGATGCGTGTCTTAACTTGATTAAGTCCACATTATTTTGGGGTTCATTAGCAGGGAGCCTGTGCCGATGCCGGTAGTTGTGAGGGGCAGAAGAGCTCACCACTGCCTCAGATTCCCGCAGCAGCTCACTACGCATGCGCGGCCAACGGCCTCTAGAGAAGCCGCCAAAAAAACGCTTTGCTGCCTGAGAGGTCAGGGCACAGAGGCGGAAGTGGGTGGGGCCTCAAGAGCTCCGGCCACCACCCTTCGCTTTCTGACCACGCCCTCCTCTGGCCACACCCCGTCGCTCCTCAGGGCACGCCCCCTCAGTGACCCGCCGCTGCCCACGTGGGTGCCTGGAGCTGGCGGGCAGTGGGCGCAGGCTGGGTGTGCCTGTCGCCTGCGGTTTCCTGTGGGAGGAAGCGGCCCGCGGGCGCTCAGCTCAGCTCGTATCCTAGGAGGCCCAGGACGGGGAAATCCCGCTACCGCCTCGGGCTTCCATTTTCACCCTTCCACAGGGCTCTAGCATGAGAGATGCCCCCGAACATCCCCAGGGTGCCGCAGTCTGGCGCTGATACCACTCAAGGAATTTGATTCAGAGCCCTAGCCCCATGTCTCCACCTCTCCAGCTCAAATTTGCATCTTCCTGGATGCTGGTTTCCAGACTCCTCCAAGGACCAAGTTCCCCCCTTTGCCCGCACTGCAGGAAAAGCGAGACCCTCCAAGTCTTTAATTTTTTCCTCAGTGGCCCAAACTTTCTAAGTTCCTTTGGGTTCTGAGTTCAGACCCCCAGTCTCTGTCCTTACTAGACCTAAGTTTGGTACTACTTATGCCCCACCCTTGGGGATCCTCATTTTATACTCCCAACTCTTTAGCCTTGGGGCCCAGGGGACCCAAGTATTTGCTCCTTCTGCAAATCCTAGATAGCATGAACTAGGGTCCCCCAGTACGAATTCACTCAGGTATCCAATGCCTGGTATAACAAGCACATACAACAGTGCCTACTATGTGCCAGGCACTCCTCTAAGAATTACCCTAAAATGTGTTTACTGTTATCTCCATTTTACAGATTAAAAAACCGAGGCATGAGAGGTTATTAGTGACTTGCCAACTCACAGCTAATGAGTAAGCAGCTTGGGTTTAGATCCAGCCAGTAGACTCCAGGGTCTATGTACCCACCCAGTCACTGAACTGCCCACCCTTCACCCCTCCCGAGATCTCAGATGACCAACCTTTCTCCCTCCCCTTAGCTCTGGCCCATCAGACACCCAGACATCCCATTTTCCAGTTCCCATCCCTTGCAGGAACCCAGGATTTCAGTTCTCCAGTTCTCAATTCCTGTCAGGACCCTGGACACCTGATTGCCCATCCCTTTTCACCAGCAACCAGCCTTTCCAAGAGAACCAAGTACGTAGGTGAATAATAATTATTATCATACAGATTAAGTAATAAATACCCTCCCCAAGAATAAGTAGTAATAATTATTAGAATTAAGTCCCTGGTACCACACTTCTGTTTAAACCCCTCCAGTGGCTGCCCACTGCTCTTAGAATAAAATCCAAACTCCTCCCCTGGTCTTCAAGGGCGCTGTGATTGCCCTTCCCTCCACTCCCTCTAGCTGCTTCTCTCCAGCCCCACTGGCCCTCTGTCTGCTTCCCAAAAACCCTGAGCTTGTTCACAGGAGCCTCCGTACTTCCTCTCCCCCCAGCATTCAGATGACTCCTCTCAGCTCAGATGTCACCTCCTCAAAGAGGCCTTGCTGGTCACCCTGCTTAAAGTAGGTCCCCTTCCACTGTCCTGCCATCATTATCTCTGCTACTCTATTTCCTTAAAAGTACTTATTACTATCTGGAATTTATCTTCTTCGTTGATGTTTTCTCTGTATTGTCTGTCTCCCACTACTAGGTAGTAGGCGTCACACCTGTTTTCTTCATTATTAACTCCTGGTTCATAATAGATGTTCAATAAATGTTTGATGAAGAAAGGAATGAACGTGTTAGATGTGTTAGTATACTGGTATTACCTTATTTATTTAGAATGAGTATCAGAACTATAATCATCACTATTAGTATATTGTCCATATTATCGGTAGTATTATACCCACCCAGGTTAGGAAACCAAGGTCACAGAATTGAATTGATTGGTCAGGGTCCTCCAGGCAGGATACAGCTGCACTGGGATTCCTAACTTCCACCTCCTGCTGTCTTCTAGAGTTTCACACTCCCCCATATCCCATCCTCCGACCCCCACCTTTCACCCCTTCTGAGGCCAACTCCATCAGACCTCGGCGCACTCCACATGGCAGGGATCTGGCGTCTCCCTCACTGTCCCATCCCTCTGAATACCCAGTCCTGAGCCTCACGAAGGAGAGAAGACATCCGGTCCCAGGACCAGACGCAGAGCAGAGGCCTTAGAATTGGCCCTCCCACCCAGTAACGCCCCCACCCTGGAGCCCCCCGTGCTCCCTTTACTCCAAGGACCTCTTAGCTCAACCGTGGGAGGGGGCCTCAGAAGATGCCTGTCTTGGGACAGTGGGTGGGAGCCCAGAGAATGAGGAACCCGAGCCCTGAGCCCTCCCTCTGGCTGCAGACCTCAGCTGGGTGTGGTGAGGGTGCGTATAAAAGGGTCAGTATATATTGAGGGGAGCGGAGAGACACTAGGAGACTGAGAGAGAGGAGGAGGTATAAGCAGTGAGGCCAGGAGGGCGTCAGAGGCAGGCGGAAGGAGAAAGAGGGGTGGGGAGAGAGAAGGAGAGAAAAGAGAAACAGAGAGAGGAAAGGGGTTCCAGGACTGGGAGACAGAGTGCGGGGGGGAGGGGGAGCGAGGGAGGGAGAGAGGGAGGCCGGCGGCGAGAGGCGGGGGCCTTGAGAGGGTGGAAGGAGGGAGTGGAGGGCGGGGCGCGGAGGCCCAAGCGAGGGACTAGACTCCAACTCGGACTTTTTCTGCCGTTCTCGGTAAGTTTCCAGTCCGTTATTCGGACTAGGATTCCTTTCTTCACTTGGCAGTGCAGCTTTTGGGGAAGGACCCCCAGGCTGGGAGCGACCCCCCACTCTCAGACTCCACGGAAATCCTTCTAATTTAAGAAGTGATTTCTTAGCACTTGCGGTGGGGATTCAGGAAGGGGTGGGGCTGGGGAAGATTTTGGGGTTCTCAGCAGAGGCTTCCACCAGAAACCTTCCCGCAGTTTCTCCCCCTGACTGTCTACTCTCCTCTGAGATCAGAGCTTTGCATGAGAACACCCCACCTCCAGGGAACCCCCAGTCCCCCCCTTCCTGGGCACTGACGGGTCTCCTCATGACTGTCCACTCTCCCCTGAGATCAGAGCTTTGCAGAACACCCCACCTCCAGGGAACCCCCAGCTCCCCGTTCCTGAGCACTTCATGAAGGGTCTTAGGAGGCTGGCTCCTTCTTCTCAGGCTTCTTTCCCCCAAACAAGGATCTTGTCCATTTCCCCCACAAGGTGTCCAGCAGGCACCAGTCTGGCAGCAGGGTGGGGTGGGGACCTCGTTGGCATAGCCAGGGGCTGGGGTTTCCCTGGTGCTTGACTGCAAGGGGGGGTGTGGGGTGAGTCACCAGATGACTCACTCCATCCCCTTTTCCCTCCCACCCCAGAGGAAGAGTGGGGTGAGTCAAGGATGCCTGTCTCCAGGGGCAGCCTCCAGTTTCTGATGAATCTGAAGGGGTTCAACTTGAATTTTCATATTCTGGCTCATATGTGCCCAGGAACAGGCCTCTGTGGAGACAGGAGCCACATTGCTAGTCCTAACCATTCCTGGGCCCAAGAGCCCATTCCTGGCCCTCTCCAGCCCCTAGGGAATTCAGGAGGCGAGTCCTCCAGCCCCCTCCTCCTTCCCTGGAATCTAGACTGGGCTTCCTTCTCTACCAGAAATCAGCATCTCACCTGCCTTTGTGCCAGCCTCTTGAGACAGCCATTTCCTGACGTCCCCTACCCCAGGCTTCCACGCAGCCATGTCACTCCTCCTGCTAGTGGTCTCCGCCCTTCACATCCTTATTCTCATCCTGCTTTTTGTGGCCACTTTGGACAAGGTAAGTCTACTGGGAACAGCACCAGGGCCTCCCGCTTTCCTGCAGTTTAGCGAAGTTGCAGGGATTGTGGTCAGTATAAGTGATACTCCAAGCCTCTCCTGGCAAGTCCCTCTGGCCCCACCCCTTTCTCCTAACATCTACACTATTGAGCTCTGCCTCTCCTGCCTCCATCCTGCTCTTTGCCCTGGACCCCCACCCCTTTCCTACCAAATTCAGGCTTTCCCGGCACCTCATCCTTTTCCTAACCCTTCCCACGGTCTCCCTGACCCCACCCACTTTCCATTCCTAACTCTGTCCTTGTTTCTTTGTCCATCCCAGTCCTGGTGGACCTTACCTGGGAAGGAGTCCCTGAATCTCTGGTATGACTGCACGTGGAACAATGACAACAAAACGTG